CCGCTTAGAGAGGGCTGAAAGCCCTATGAAGTGGTATATAAGTCTAACTGCTATTGCTATTGCTAAAGCTATTATCTGCCTATCTGTCTAACACAGTTCTACCCCACCCATCTCAATAAGTGATTCTGGGTGATTTACAGTAAAAACATAAAAGACAATATAAAGGCCCCTGACTACAATTCCCTTTTGCAGAAATACATTTCTATAATGCAAAATCTACGTGGAAGTAATCTGGATCAACTACTGTGTAAAAAACAATTTCACATGTATTTATAAAGTGAGACCTGTAATGAAAAAGTACTAAGATATTTAGATACAAAATTAAAAGAAAAAGCAATTTTGTAGAAATACATCCTTCTGAAATGTATTCTTTTATAGTGACAAGTTGAATGAATTAAGAAGACAAAAAGAAAAATTAGAAGAAAAAATTATGGATCAGTATAAATTCTATGAACCATCTCCCCCTAGAAGGTAATGTGACTACTAAGTTAATGAGCATCATTTTCATTCTGTTGAGAATTGTTTAAGTTGTATTTTATTTTTGAAGGTTAATGAATTCTAAATTTAGCATTCTTCTTCATCAATTTATTTTGGTTATTTATCAATTCAAAAAAGATCATAAACTGTGAGACAGCAAATGAAAATCATAATAAAAATAGTTACAATGATGTGGTTAAAGTACAATGATGTCAAGTACAATATAAAATTATAAAATGTCTCATTCAGAATCAGAAATAAAATCATATTGATTGAACAATTATTAAAGTAGTTAAAAATATGCGTAGTTACTATCTGTAACAATAAACTTTGTCATAAAGGCAATATAACAAAACATGGTTTAATACTTCTGTAGCTTCCTCACCATGAAGGCAAAGCCTTTGTTCAAGTGGAATATCTTGAAATTTCTCTTCAAGAATAGTCCTTGGAAGAGGTTAATGTTGTCAAAGTTAGGATTTTTCTGAATTTGGAGACATCATTTGGCTTAAATACATTCCTAACTTTAAAAAAAAAGGAAGTTACTGCTCAGGAACATCCAATATCATTAACATGCAATATCATTAAATAGGTCAGTCAGAGTTAATTGGCTTTCCAAAACCATAGCACACTACTTAAGGCAGTGATGGCGAAACCTTTATGCACTGAGTGCCCAAACTGTGCGTGCATGCCCAAACTGCAAGGCACATGTGCATGCATGCACATAGGCGAGCATGCATGCACATAGGCGAGCATGCATGCACATGAACAAACATGCTGCAAATGTGCAGCAGAGACCCAAAGACCAGCTGGCCAGCGGGAGGCAGGATATCCCAACAACAGCACCTCTGCCGGAGGTGACATCTTTTTCTTTTGTGAGCTTCTGTTTCGTCATTTGCAGGGAAACAAGCTCACAAAAGAAATGCCTCTGAGCTGGGGCGACAGTACACGTGCCCACAGAGAGGGCTCTGCGTGCCACGTGTGCCACAGGTTCTTCATCACAGACTTAAGGCCTATGTTCATGTCCCAACTTCAGAATTTCATCCGATGAAGAGCATTTCAGTTTCAGTTGACTGGTTTCTGTTTAGATTGTATAAACCTTTAATATTCTTTTTCTTTTTCAAAAGAAGAGGCAACTGGATTACTCTGAAAATGAGGAAATTGATAAAATCAAAGAAAGATGTCAACCGAGAACGCCTCAAATCTCTGACTCTGACACCAACCCGCTCAGAATCTAGTGAAGGATTTCTTCAGTTGCCACATCAAGATAGTCAAGATAGTTCCTCTGTGGGCTCAAATTCACTTGAAGATGGCCAGACAGTGGGAACTAAAAAAAGTAGCAGTGAGTAATTTTTTAAAATTTAAATAGCGAGTAGTATCTGCTGTAATGTTTCAGTTCAGAATTTACTGGGGGGAAGAAACTAGATTTAAAGTATTTTAATATTCTTATTATGTAGTTGATAGTAGAGAAGCAACCTCTACAGCAGAGTATACTCCTAAATGTTTTTCAGGGGTTCACTATTTAAAATGAAATTAACGAGTTGGCTAATGAAATTTGTACCTCCTTTACCCGAATTCTTTTTTTTCTAATATTGTTTTTTCATTCACTCATGACATTTTTATCATGTGATTTTCCTGCAAAATGCTTCCTTGTGAACAACTTTTATATAGTTAAAGTTGATCCTATTTGTCTGCATGTCCATTACCAACCTGCCATCTGAAGTTAATAAAGTACAGCCCTGCACCCAACATTGCATGGAAGAGACAATGTTTTGGTTCACGTATATTATATGCAAAGCTCAGCTGCATATTGATGAGAGATTTATTTATATAAATTATATATACCTATTATGTGTATATACCTATTACATATATATACCATCTTTCATTCAGGAGCTCATGGCAATGTATATAATGGTTCTATATCTTGTTTTTCCATACAATCACCCTGAGAGGTAGTTGAACTGAGAAAGAGTAACTGATCCAAAGGTTTCCATGGCCTTGGGTGCACTACAATTTGGCTCTCCCAATTTCTAGTCCAATATGTTAACCACTACACCTTTCTACCTTTCAAGTTAAGAATAGTCACAGTCTGTGCATATTATGTAAATTTAGGGAAACAAACAATTGGCATTCATTTTGCTTGTAGATTTTTAATTGTGCTCTGCCATCAAAACAACAATATGCTCAGTAGCAACTGGCTGATTTTGATTGATCTTAGAAGTTAAGTTATATTGGTAGCAAATGGGATCAGTTTAGCACACAAACCCCAAAGGAAGGAAATTCAGACTTACCAATGTTAAGACCTTTAAATAGTAAACTCAGTGGGATGTATAAAATTGGAGAATGAGACACATTGCTTAAGTATTGTTTATTTTCATAACCCAGTCTATGACCATTACACTTTGATGGCCATTGTTCAGAATTCTCAAGCTATTTGAATTGTACCAAAACAGTTCAAATATTGCATTGTTGGAATGTATGAGTTTTTAATATTTCTTTGTTGATTTAATTCACAAAAGTAGTTTTTTTCATTAATAAAGTAAGAAAAATACAATATATATTTTATAAGACTAATAGCTTGAAGTTTTTACCTACTGCTAAAAGTTGTAAATGTAGCGCCTCTGCCTTTTAATTTTTATATTTCTATACAAACATTTTAAGTAATGTTTTGTTTTTAAATGAACAGAAAATGTTCTTAGGTTTTATAGTTTTATATTAATGACAATTTGGTATCATTTTAGGTGTTTCAGATAACAAATACCGAAGCTTCTCTTCACTCTATATGCATCTCAGCAAAACTGAAATAATACTTTTCCTTATAGTAGGTTTATAATAGTTAGCTTGTGATTTATAGTTACATTCTGACCTGCATTTTTGTGTACTGCTTGATTGAGTGTACTCTCTTATGAGGTACAGTATATTTATAATACAGATTTGAGTGACTTTGTTCACTTTTTACCTCTCCTTCCTTGGTATCATTTGTAGAATGGATGAGATAGGCTCCTTATCAGCTTCACCATTACAGATTATCAGTTCTTATTGCTGTATAGCAGCTGAATTGTGAGTTCCAGTTCCTAGAATCAATACAAATTCCATCTTGTCTGCAGTGAATCACACTACAAACACATATTCAGAATTGAAGTGTTAGAATGGAGTTCTAGATGGAAATAATAACGAGAAGTATTCAGTCCTTGTTTTCTTTAGATGAGAGAGAGAGAGACAGTTAGAGTTGGAATTAGTAAACAGGAAAAATTCGTACTTAACTCCTGGCAATTTTTTCTACTCTTTACTCCAGCAAAATCTGAAAAATGCAGTGCATATGAAAATAGAAAAAGTAGGTCATAAATAAAGATTAAATTTTCTAAGATTATGGTATCATATAGAATTTCTTAGAAGATAATGTTATTGAACATCATTTTGATTTTTCTCATTATTTTTCTGAGCTTAATAATTTACATATATGCTTTGTGTTTGGACTGGAATAAACCCATACTGAAAAAAATTATTTTCTAGTTACCAAGTCCTCTTGCATAGGATTTCAAATCTGGAATAAGAGATCCATGTAAAATCCTTCTGTAACACTGAATTTAAAATTGTTTTTGAATATACTTTCTGCTTGATTCTAACATCACTTTGCTGTCATATTTTTCTTGGGATTTTTGTTGTTATGGTATCAATTTTCTGAATGATAGCATACCCTGCCCCAATATGCAAGTGTTATTATGTAAGATGACAGTCTATTGGATTGTTTACAATTTTTTACACTTCCTTTCTTGATTGGATAGTATACGGTGGTCATGCTTAACTTGTTTTAACTGAGACTAATAGAAAAAGATGGACATATTAAAGCTGTTTTGCAGATGAACATAGTAATCTTGGCTCATTTGGCCAATCCCTGATTTTTCCCCTCCTATTTTTATTGGTCCTTGTCTTGTGTCCATGTGGAATGGATACTTGATAGAACACAAAGAAAATTGGGACTAAGCCAGGAAATTATATAGTATATATTCACATTTGTTCATTATTATCAGATGCAGTTGTTGAGTTTATACAACATGCTATGTCAAAGTTTGTTAACCATGATTTATAGAGGGGGAAATTACCTTTGCTGGTGAACCACCCAGGGTCACGAGAATCAGTAGCATATTTATTTAATAATAAGCAAACAAATAAATAAATAAATAATAAGGAAATAAACTACAATAGCTTGATTCATATATCACACTAAGCCATAATGAAATCATGTTACACTTAACATAATGAATGAAGCCAACAGCAAATAGTTTCAAACAATTTACTGTCTAAGAATAAAATATCTTTTATTCTCTGACCCTGATCCATGCATTAATTAAGGCAAAAACAGAGCAGATTATGGCTTAGTGCAATGTGTGAACCTTGACATTATATTAAAAAGTGAACCTTGCAACTGGTATACACAACAATTTGCTGAAATAAAACAGGCTCAAATGAACAGTTAAATTATTTAAAAAAAACTGCAGCCACAATTTAGTAGCAAGTAAGAACAAAGCTCAAAGATCTTTAATAAACCAAATTAGCATTTAAAAAATGTTTTTCAATCTCAAAAAAACCTATATGGTGATTTTTAACTTTCTTTCCGTCTCAAAATTAGTGTTTTGTTTGGGTTTTGTTAGATTGGTTTTTGAGACATTTAATAATCCTGAACAATGGAAAATCTTTTTGTTCCTCACACAGGATTTCCAGGGTTTCTGGATATTTTAAAAGTTTCACTATGAAGGTTTCATATTTCATTGTCATTCAGCAACATGAAATTAATAGCTGATAGTAAATTGCACCTAGTGGAAACTCAAACATTCATTTCTGTCCTTAGTTTCAACATTTAACATCTGTTCTTCTCCCCTTATCTTTCATTTACCGTTTCTGTTTTTCCTTATGCTATGACATAAAAGTGGTTGCACTGAAAAGACTGCCCTTTTTGAGGAACAGACCGAAGGAAAAAGACAAAATGAAGGCCTTCTACCGTCGCTCCATGTGTAAGACTTTATGAAAGTTCAGCTTCTTTTTAAATGGCTACACTGGCATCTATTACTAACTTTTCCTAACCCTTTCCTGGACTGCACTGTTTTTTTCTATTCTGCAAGTCCTGCTTTATACAAGGAGCTGAAGCAATGTTTCTAAACACTGACACCAAATGTACATAATTATAGGACTCTATAAATAACACAAAATTGAAGATACATTTATATGCTCACGTTATGGAAATTACAGGTAGTTCCCCATTAGCTATGATAATTGAGACTGGAATTTCCATCATTAAGTAATATGGCCATAAAGCACAATGTCACATGACCATGCCACTTAATGATGCAGTTCCTGTACTTCTGATTATTTTTGTTAAGCAAGCCCAGATTAAGTGAATGTCACATGATGGCCATTTGCGACTTCCTGCCAGCTTTCCTTTGCTTGTTGGAACCTGGCAATGAGGGATAGCAAATGACAATCACGTGACCTCAATTGCTAGATGCCCAGAAGTTAGTGTGATGGCTGGAACTTTGAGGACTGATCATAAGTACCATTTATTCAGCACCATTGAAACTTTGAAAGTTCACTGAATGAGTGGTTAAGCAAGGAACACCTCTATGTGCATTTGAGCATATGTGCATTAAATTCATATGGGTAACTAGGTAGCAGGCACACATTTGCAAAGTGAATGTCATTTTTAAAAATTGTTATAAGTCTTATAAAGCCATATTTTCTTTGGGGTATTTTTAAACTAAAACCTGTCTAAACATAAATAGTAGCTTGTTTATCTTTTACTAGTTTCTAAAAGTGGGAAACAGGATGGCAAGTTTTTGCCAGTGTATTATTTTATTTTTAAGTTAAGGATTCAATATGTAGATAGCTGTTATAGAGCACATTTGATTTAGAACCTTCTCTCTAGTGTTATGCACAATTATCTATCCATATAGAAGCCTGCACAATAAAGGGCCCCTTATCATTGCCAGCACTGACTTTATATAAGCACTTGTGCTCATCTTACCCTGTTCATTACATTTATCATTACAACATCAGAGCTCCTATGTATATTTATGTAGCATTCCAGCACAAGCATGGCAGCTAAAAACATTTACAATCATCTGCACAAGAAAGCCTTGCTTTTTAACATTTTTCATTCATTCAGCCAAATGCATGTTGTAACATATATGAACATGGAATGTACCTTTCAGTATGATAATTAGAGATAAATGTGAAGCATTTTACAATGCAAAAAAAATCATTGAATCATGCTGATTCATTTGCTTTCATTTGCATCCCAGCAATGAATGACCTGATGCAGTCCATGGTCTTAGCAGGAGGACAATGGATAGGTAGTTCTGAGCATCTGGAAGGTCCTGATGATATATCCACGGGTAAAAGGAGAAAAGAATTGGGATCTATGGCCTTCTCTACTACATCCATCAACTTTACAACTGTCAACTCTGCTGCAGGCTTGAGATCCAAGCAGTTGCTTAATAATAAAGGTATAGGTAGAAACTTTTCGGTGTGGTGTGGCTGTGTTAGCAACACTAGTGGTATTGGAATCTATTCATGCTTAATATTTCATATGATTTTTCAGCAAATATTTATAATACAGATTTATGTAGTGGGGAAAAGGTTTATATTTCTGACATATTATTTGTGAGAACATGGATTTATTGGAGCAAAAACTTCATAGTATTTTCTAGATGATAAACTAATATTCAGGTTTTGATTTTTGTTTTCTACCTAGATACAACATCTTTTGAAGATGTAAGTCCACAAGGAATTAGTGACGATTCTAGTACAGGTTCAAGAATTCAAGGTAAGATTTGTACTTTAAATGAGTGTTGGTTATGAGAACATTAATGAAGTTTAACCAAAAACAGTTTTGCAAATGAGCATTTGTCATTTTTGGCTCTTTTTCTCTCTTCTTTCAACTTTGCATCTCATCTCATCTCATATTTTTTTCCATTTAATCTAATAGAATTCTTCCCCACTTCCCTAATGCACTTGTTTTAAGTAAAACCTTGTTGAGTGCAAGGTTCATTTTTTTCAGTTCTCCTTCAGTTCTAAATGTCAGCGTTCAGTGTTGAGAATTACTTCGGCAATCTGTTTCTCAAAATATGTTCACTTATACATTAATTTATTTTCTTAATCAAATTTCAATTTAGATATAACCAAAGAGTACCGAATAGAAGATACAGCTATAAAATTTAATTGATCATTGAAAATTGATTTAACTCAAAACAATGCATTATTCTGAATATATTAATACTGTCTCTACATTTATATTGTTTAAGAGTACATGATGTTAAATGTAGGAGTGTTTTTCTTCTATTGGTGGCATTTCTGCATAGGTCATATCCATGTGGAATCTATTGTAAATGCCTGATACAAAATAATTTTCTGCATGTTTTACATGCTGTTTTTACCTTTTTTTTTCAATTCAAAACACGCATTCTATTTTTCTTGTTTTTGCTGCTCTTTTTATATCTTTTTACTGCTCTAAAGCAGGGGTCTCCAACCCCCAGACTTCAGCACAGTACTGGGCTGTGGCCCATTTGGAACTGGACAGTGGAAGTGGTGTATATATGCATGCAGCTCCAGTTGTGTAGTGATGGGCTTGTGTGCCGCTGCTCATGCAAATGGAGCTGTATATACATGCTCACCGACTGCTCACGCAAAACTATCCTCTCTCCCCTCACCTGCCGGTTTGGAAAGTTGGAAAGGTTGGGGACCATTTCTGTAGGGCATTTTTAAAAAGTTGCCTATAAACAAATTTTTCTGTTTTAGGGATATTCATATTTCTACAGTAAATGGTAAATTTAGTGCACTTTTTTTAGTGTTTGTGCAATTTTGGAGATTTTAATATCAACACACATCTGCCACCAATTTGATAAAAATTGGAGGAGGCCTTTGCAAGGAGATGATTAATCAAGATCGTGTTGTATTCCCAGACAATGGATATAAATACTTAACATTTTTGACATACGAACCTTGTGCATTGCTTTTTTATATGAATTTCTGAAGTGCAACCTCATATACAAACTTCGTAACGAGTATTGTAAATACTAAAGTGATTACTTCCGTGTTAAAATTAACAATATTGTCTCGCAGTGCTAATGTAATAAGTTTTGTTTATTTTGCATCCACTGATTTCTGTCCTTAAGCATTTGGTCCTCTGGATTGTTTGTTCTAGATTCTCATTTCTTGCCTGTGCATCTCCAACATTTCTCTCACCGCTGCTGTTTAATTTCTACGTGAGACTACTAGGTGAAGTTATCTATTGCCACAGGATTAGATGCCGTCAATATGTTGATGCTACTCAATTATAATTATATATCTCAATCCTGGCCCCTACAAGGGATTCTGTTGAAATTATGTTTTGGTGTTGGAGGATGGAGGAGCCCAAATGAGGGAAAATAGGCTTCAATTTAACCTTATAAGACAAAGTGGCTATGGATTGTAAAATGCCCTAAATCCAGGGATTTTTCATTTTATTTTATTCTAAATGAAGTTGCATTGACCTGGTGCACGATTTGGAGGTCCTTCTAGACATGTGATTGAGAGATGCACATATCCATTTTGTGTGTCAGTTCCACCGACTCCTGGATTGGGAGGCCTTGCTTACAGTCACTTATACATTAACCACCTTATGCTTGAATTGCTCCAGTGCAGTCTACATGAAGTTGTCCTTGGTAACTACTTGGAAACATTACTCATCCAGAATGCAGTAACCTGTCAAAGTTGCAGATATATGTTGATACCTCTGCTCTTTGAGAAAGCAGTTGTTACCAGTATTCTTGTATGCAATTCAGACTACTAGTTCTAACTTTTAGTGACAAGGCCAAACTATTTGTGAGATAATTTATTCATTTCTGTGAATGAAATATCTCATGTACAGTATATTCTGATTTGATAGATGTTTTATGCTATCTACTGATTCTTTTACATTTAGCTTCCAGACCAGCCAGTCTTGACAGTGGCAGAACATCGACTAGCAATAGCAATAATAATGCATCACTCCATGATGTCAAAGGTATGCTTCTAAAGAAATGAACCTGTGCTTCATTCTTTATATTACAGAGAAGAATGGGTGATATTCATAGCATGAAGGAATTTTTACTATGATGATTTAAACCATTTGGTTATTTTTAAAATAAAGTTTTAAAATAGATTACTTTGCTAGAAGTATATGGCAAACAAATATAATAAATACTTGCATTTCTGTAGTCTCTATTTACTGCTCTACTTCCCTTTATATAAGTAGAATTCAAATACATCATGATATACTGAACATATCACTAACGGGGAAAATTTTTAAAATACTCTTGATACCTCCCCCCCCCCCCCACTAAATGTCAGGGGTAGAAAATAAAATATGCAGTCCAGAAATTACAGGTATAGCTACACTGATGGCATTTAATTTCCCAGTTATCCATTAGTAATATAGTATAATTATTCATAATAATGCTGAAAATATTGAACTTCTATGTGTATTGCTATTAATAGTGATCAAACAAAGAAAAGAATTCATAGGAGTGAAGCAAAGGAAAATGCAGACTTAAGTGGATAGAGATGATGAGAAGGAAAGGAAATATATCTCATTAGGAGAATAAAGGTTTAGAAAAGGAATGTCTATGCAGATTCTCAAATCCATGTCATGGTTGTCCCAAAGATGCTTTTCCAAAAGGCAATTGAACTTCCTTGGTTTTTTCCTTTGAAAATGTTTCACTTCTCATCCAAGAAACTTTTTTAGTTCTAATTGTCAGAACTGAAGAAGCTTCTTGGATGAGAAGCAAAATGTTTTCAAGGAAAAAAACCAAGAAAATACCAGTTGCCTTTTGGAAAAGCATATTTGGATTCAGAAAAGGAGAGCATAAAAATATTTAGATATTTCTATAGTGGAATTTATGCAAATGAGAAAGATAACATGAGAACAAAAAAAAAGGAAAAATGAGAACTCATAGGAGTGAAGCAAAGAAAAAATGTAGATATAAGGGGATAGAGAAAATTAAAAAAGAAAGGAAAGATATCTCATAAGGAGAAAAAAAATTAGGAGACTATAAAAATGTTTAGACATATCTAGAGTGAAATCAATACAAATAAGAGTATCAAAAAGGCAAAGGAAAAAAGTCTCCTATTCAAAGCTCCAGAAGCACACTACTAGGCTATCTATTTAGCTTGCTTTTTGTAAAAAAAAATAATAATCTGTGTTTAAAGCAGATCAATTACAAACGTCACTGCCTCAATGAATTCTTTTCATTAGCTTTACTGGATTTTGCATCTTTTTGAGCATTTGTGTTTTTCCAATATAAATTATTCCCTCCATAAATACTATGTCAGTTAAGTATGCTTGTGTTCTAAAAGTATATATTGCTTTTTTAAAATGTTATTCAAAATATTGCAGAGAATAGTTTCAACTACTTTGGACTGAAGAAATGCCAAAATGAGAAATTGGCATTTCTTCAGTTATTTTGTGCACAGTGTGATGTTTCTTCTTCAAATCATATTCATAGGAATTGACACTTTATATAAAGAGCAATGTATTTTTACATAAATCTTTTCAGCAAAATATTTCTTGATTAACTTGAAACTATTTTTCCATGCTTCTGTTTTCTTTTTAGTTTTATAACATAAAATATAGCGTATGGTAATATTTATTACTATGACCCTGTGATCTGGGTTGCTGAAAAGGTTTGTGTGTTGGATGTGTGTGTGTATATAAGTATAGAAAATTGGAAACTGATACTTTTAAAAGAGTTGAAGTTGAAACTTTTAAAATTAAATATTAGATGTCATAATGAAGACCGATAATGGGTAAAATTAAGAAAATACATTTTATTGTACAAATTTTAATAGGTGTTTAAGCATGTTACTGTACAGCAATTGATGTTTCAGTCCTTTTAAAACATCTAGCAATATATTGTACTTTGTTTCAAATGTACTTGTTAAAATGTTTGTAATTTATTTTACCTAAGAAAAATATCAGTGCTGTTTACTCTAAAGCAGGTGCAAGTAACAACCAAAGCAGGCCTCAAAGCCACAGTAGTGGAGAATTTAGCCTACTTCATGAGCATGAAGCATGGTCCAGCAGTAGCAGCAGCCCCATACAATATTTGAAAAGTCACACTAAGTCTAGTCTCCTGCTTCATCATACAATGTCAGAAAAAATAGATAAACAAGGAATACGGAGAATTAAAACTGAATCCCCTGGAAGTGAAATGGTTACTCTGCAGCAATTTCTGGAAGAAAGCAATAAAGTTACTTCAGCTGAGGTATGTTAAAAAGTACTTAATTTTAAGAGACATAATTTAAGCCCGTAAACATAATATGAGTTCAAGTAGATCATGACAATGTGATTTGAAATCCAGGTAAAGAAAAACAACTAATTTTAAATTTGAGAGACAGCATTCATCATTTATTAAGAATTTGAAGATAACTGAGTAGTAAAGTAATAGCTGAGATATTTAGTTCAAAAAAATACATTCTATTAATGGTCATAGCTATAAAAAGAAGATAATGCCATTATGCATGGTAAACCTGAATAAGGCTACACAAAATTAACCTCAGATTTTCTACAACAGAATAGTTATTCCCGAGCCCTAAATAATGTTTTCAGCAATTTTGTTACATTATTGCCTAAGTAAAATAGATTTGCCATAATCATTCATTGGGGCATGTCCTGCTTTTTAGAAATGAGTTGTTAAAGTAGAAGGTATCATAGGATTTTAAACTTCCTCTCAAACTCCTCTCATGTCCTAGAATTTGTCTGAAACCCTTTCACTTCTTCTTCAGCAAGTTCCCTTTGTCCATTCAACCCCTCAAGTTCAATGCCTCCATTCAACCCATCAGCTTTAGGCTTCAATTCTGGAGACAAATGTTCCTGATAGATCTTCCCTGAAATCTTATTCTCCAAACCACCTTGCTGCTCAAAGAGAATGGCCAGATTAGCACCCTGTACCATTTCCATCACAAAATTATGAGATTGAAACTGGATTGAAACCCATTACTTTTGGGAAATTTCCCAGTTACTATAATTTCTCTAGCTTCTCTTTAGTTTTCAGGGTTTTTTATAACTTCTCACTAGTATTCAATTTCTTTGGACCTTATGGCATCTACCTCATCAAATATGATCAGCTGGCATATAGACTTAAAGTAGCTTAATGCCCCCTCAAGGCATATCTTGCATCCAAACACCAACCTTGCATGGCATTTTACTCAGTGATTCATCACCAGTCTAGTGTTTTCCAATCATAGACTATTATTCATTAGTTCATTCATTTCTCTCTCTCTTTATTAAGGAGAAGTAGTCTCTTGCTTGTTTTTCCTTTTACAATATAAGTTAACTGCATTAACATAATTCTAAGATATATTTTAAAAAATAGAGAAAATACTCTCTGAGTATACCTGCTTCTGAAATCTCATTATTTTCTCTGTGTGTTTTTTTCAATAAGGCAATTGAAGAGGCTTTACTTATTCACAATTCAGTTTTTATATTCTATAAAGATTTCCAGTGATGCACAATTATTATTTTGGCTGTATAATTAAATAGATAATCAATTCTTTATTTTTAAGCTTGTGGATTGATTCTGCAAAAAAGTACAGTAACATACTTTACAATTACTTAAATCTGGTACGACATCTATTATGAATATAAAATGTTAATTTTGCCATTGCTACATATTCTTCAGTTTTGTCTCCTAATTTGACATAATTTACTAGGATCCTTTTTTTCATTGTTGTCTCAAATTTGTTCTTGCAGCTGTTAGTATATATCTCAGTAAATTGTGATATTTTCATTTTGGAGTATAAATAAACTGGCAATTTAGAATTAATGTTTTATGCTATGTTTTCAGGTTTCTTAAAGTAAAAGCTCAATAATTTTTTCAATACTTTGTAATTCAGCATTAGAGAAAACATTTTTTATAATATGCCATAGTTCTTCTGGAATTAGGTTTTCAGGTACAGGTAGCTAATTGGGACCTAAGCAATGTGGTTGTTCGGTGAAATGCAGGGTTTCCAAAAGGGGAGAGATGGGGGCTAGGCAGATGTGTTCAGTCTGGATCTGTATTAATTTGATGGGGATACTATGTGTTTTTTATATTCATTCTCTTTTTCTATCTATTTTTTTGCAGCTAAAGTCTTCAAGCAAAGATAATCTTTTGGATGAAGTAATGAAATTTTTTTCGGAAAATGCTGAATTAACAGGAAGAGAAAAACTAAGCAAACAGACATCAGGCAGTAGTGGTATTGTCAGATCGCAGAGTGTGAGAAACACAACAGAATTATTTGATGGAAAGTTAGGTAAGCAAGAACCTCTTGCAAGGCTCAATTTAAACAGAACAGAAGATTCTAAAGATTTGAACTTTTCAGAGACTTATGCAGGCACTAAGGGAAAGGTCAGGTCTGTTAAAGAAAATGTCCAGTCACAGCGACAATCAAAAGACTGCAATCCCTATGCTACTTTACCTCGTGCAAGCAGTGTGATTTCAACAGCAGAAGGAACTACTCGGAGGACCAGTATCCATGATTTTTTATCTAAGGACACTAGGCAGCCAATATTTGTTGATCCAACTCCAACTACAGCTGAACAAAGTATTATATCATCTTCGAGTGAGTACAATCCTCAACAACAATCTTCTATTTTTTATTATGCTCCTGATAATGCAGTTACTTTTCCCGAAAATGACTTAGCTAATATTATTACACCCGATCATTTGAATATACCTGAAAGGCTTAGCAATTCCAGAACAAAGACCAAGTTTATTACTAAAACATTTTCTCTCAGTAATGTAAATAATGATAAAATAGGCATATCATCTTCAGGCCATTTTTCCATGCCATTTTTGACACTTAATACTGAATTAGTCTGTGATGTTAGTGGATTACCTCAAACATCCATAACCAGAACAGCTAAATCACTTCATTCATTTGTAAAATTGCCACAGAAAGATCACAAACAACCTTATGAAAATCAGAAATCTGATAATGAAAAAGTAGATGTCACACAGAATAGCAATAAACTTAAAAGCCTTGAGCATACAGATCCTAATGATACTGAATCCCCTTTATTAGCTGATGAAGATACCCAAACTATTTGGTATGAATATGGTTGTGTATGATAAGCTATACAGTTAAGTAACTTTCTCTGATAAAGTATGAGTGGACTTGAAACTTAGAGCCTGCCTTATTAATTAGATAGGAAAAAAACTAAGATTTTTATTTCCTTGAGTAGGGATGAATAACTCACCTTTTTTTTTCTTAGCATGTGAATTCTTAGCATGAGAAGGAATAAAGTCATGCTAAAGTTTGCATGAAGTATTACCTGCAATGTGTGATTGCTGCATGCCTCATCAAAAATCTTAATGCAAGCTAACTGATTTTTTATCTTGTATTTATTAAAAATATGTTATGGACGTTCCTAGATGCATGCTAGCCAGTTGCATGGTGCCATGCCAGAAACAACATATTAAAAGATAATTACAGTATAGCAATTAAGATTTACAGCAATTACTAATTTTGGGACAGTTTCTCTTCTCTTCAGATGCTGGAGTTTTTTGTGGATTAGATTTTAAGCCCAATTCAGCTACGTTAAATTTTGACTGGTTTAAAATAAGTAGAATTGTTTGGTTGTCCAGAATTTATTTTATCGCTTTATAACTTATAGATCAGTTCTATGTATGTATACCCAGAAATAAGTTCCACAAAATATTTGTTTGGATCCCCCCTCAAAAAAAATTAAGTGTGCTTTATGTTTCATTGTATTCATGTCACCTGACCTGAATTGAGTCCTTCCTGTTCTTTTCCACTCAGGCTAGTAAAAAATATGGAAGGAAGTCTGCATTGTAGCTTTTAATTTATAATGTATCGTACAGAAATGTCATAGTCAGAATAATTCAGTGTAACTGTCATTTTCATACTCAGTATAAAATACAAGGCATAAAGCCTAAATGATGAGTTTAATTTAGTTTAACAATATATAAGGCAAAGTTGCACTGAAAGGACAAACCTGCTTCATTTCTTTGTTTTTTTCTGTTCTTTTCCATTCCATGCTTGAAGCACTTATGTACTCCTGTGTTGTGTTGTCTGTAGGTGTACATCAGAATTTTTATTATATAGCATTCATTTTGACATGTTAAAATAAAAAATAAAATGGAAACACACTTTCTTTTTTCTTCTTATTGAATACAATAGCTAATTAGAAAACGTTGTCAAAATCTTTTAAATTGGCCTCAACATATTGTTTTAGTTGTGCTCAAATTCTTAATTCATTTGTTTTTCATTGTATAATTAAATCATATGTTGTATTTCAAGCTACATCCAATAAGTATACATTTTTAATATGGTATAAAATAAGGATTTCAGGAAACTTTTGTTTATGGCTACTATTGTCTCTACATCTGGGGAAAATCCTACTTCTGCTTAAAACTATGAATTGACATATGAGGTGGTTAACCTAATGGCCTTCCTTACTGTAAGGTAGCCTGTGTTATGCTATTTAAGAATCACAGCCTTTAAAAAGTCTTTGCAGAATTACTTGAAACCTATAAGATTAAAGAATGTAAAAATTTCTGTACGACCTTAATAATTGTACAGCTTACCTATTTTGCACGTCATTATAATTGGTTCACATTTCTTTTTTTCTTTTGGCCCCTTAAAGTCAGTATTTGATTTTTGGTGACAGCCTGGATTAATCCTTGCAGTTTCTTTGGCAAGGATTTTTGGAAGTGGTTTGCTATTGCCTCTTTTCTAGGGCTAAGAAAGATTGACTGTTCCAAAATCATCCAGCTGGCTTTTTCTAAGGCAAGATTCACAGTCTTTCAGCTTCTAGTCTGATGACTAGATCCGCTAGTCTAGATCCACTACAACAAATTAAATCTCTATTGCCTTATTTTAGAAGGATCTAATTTTTTGTGCATCATTAGAGAACCAAAGTTTCAGATACGTTGTTCCAAGTTGCATGGGGCCCTTGACAGCTAGTATTGCGACTCCACAAGATCATAAACTTTTAACATTATTAACAATTCCTCTTCACTCGGTGCAGCCCAGGCAAGCCAAAAGATTAGACCACCATAATTCAAGCTGACATAGCCTCCATATGATAACAGAGTTAAATGCAACTTCTTTATGAAAATTGAAATGCCTAGTTAATTATTTATGTATAGTTATTTACAGATTCAAAAGAAGAAAGCAGTGGATACACTTTAAGCATCCTCTTATTTAGTACTTTGTAAATACAATTTACAGCTTTAAGTTCCTATATCCCTGCTAAGAGTCTAACCCTAACCCTACTCTTCCTTGCAGAGATCTTATAGACTATAATATTCTTCAGTATCTTTATATGATCTATGCATTTGAAATTTCCCAACAGATTTTCCATAATACCCGGCATATAGAGAGTAAATATGCATTGAAATATCAGTAAAATATGCTTATCTGTGTGCAACATAGAGATTATGTTGTCTTCTCTACACTTAGGGATTTGGTGGAATGTACAGTTTGACTGGAGGGAAGGGATCTTTTGCATACAACTGTATCATAAAAATACTTGAGTGCTCTTCACTTGATTATATGATTCCATATATTCGCTGCCATGATTCTCTTCCATTTCATTAAAATTAAAAATGAGATTTTCAGCGTGAAATGGCATTATATTTTCTAAAAGTGGAATCTAGAATTGATTGAAAATATCAACAACATATACTATTGACTGCTGTTTACAATATATATAGAAACTCTGAACTTGTCAATGACATTTTACATTCTTTTCCTCCCCACTTCAACAAATATCATCAGCCAGTGAGAACCAGCAATTAGACTCCTTAATTTAGTTTGTGGATGGGACTGTCAAAGTGCTTCAGTTTGTTAATAGCTTATAGGCTCCTTTTGACATAGGTTTAGTACTATTCCTAAAGAACACCACATCCATGTTCAGAAGTACCCCAAACAACAATTGACAGGAGCAAATAAAGCTGTGCTATAAAACAGCAGGGAGGGAGGGAGTTATCTGTGTCCTACTTCACTGTACAATTCCCCTGTCACCACCATGGGTTAAGCTTTGTTTCAGGCCAATCCTCATATGAAAGCCCTTTACTTAGTAGGTAAAAGGGAAAACCTTGGCTTGAAAGAACAGGATTTCTCTACTATCCAAAATGGAATGGCCCTGGCATGGCAATCAGTGTTATTACCTGCTTTAAAAGGCAGGTACTGTTCAGAACTGGAATGGCTAAAATGATTTTAAGCTGAAGCAGATATTGGGAATGAGATAAAAGCAATATGAAGCCTCTAGAAGGATGAGGGTGGGATATATCATCTCAGCAGTGACTTATGCAGGGAGATGGGAAATAGGGGCAGGGCACTCTTGGAGTTATGGGTTGAGATTGTGAGGGCCAACTTATCATGTATTACTGACATCTGGCTTGGGGGTATGGTGTTCCCTTTCTGATTTTGAGTGTGAAAGAGCTGAGAGATTAAGCAGTTTAAAAGGTGGCTAACGCACCACTGGAAGACAAGGAGCAAACCTCATCAAACACAGGCTAGAACTTCTTTTAGAGCCTACCTTGTGACAGAAAGAATGGCAAAATACTGTATATTTCTCTGTCATTATTGCATCTGCAGAGTTGTCTGGTGGCCCTATTTGGGGTAACCCAGACCCTCCTTGGAAGGAAAAAATTTGTATTTAAAAAGCTGCTGTGAATATGATAGAAATTTAAAGGGTTGCTGTGAAGAATATGCTAGGAATCTGTTAGATAAAGTTGCTCAGATTCTCTCTGTGGCGGACTCTGCTTTGAAGCAGAGCCAGTGATGGCTATGGAGGCTAGGTCTTGTATGGTTATCTGTTGAGCCTGAGGAAATGGGTGGAGTTTTTGCCTGTATTAGATGCATGTCCTTCTGGATGGTCAAGGTTGTCGAGGGGATTGGGGTCTGGTGGTGGTTAATTATTTCTTGAGAGAGAGGAGTTCTATGAGCTCTTTAAGGGTCCATTGCTCAAACCCAACCAGTCTGGATACTTTTAATCTGATTTCCAACCTTCCCTTTTTAGGGAAGATTGTTGAGAAGATGGTTGAATTGCAGTTTCAATCAGCTCTGAATGAAACAGGTTATCAAGACCTTGGCCTAGGCTCAATTAGGATTTAGTCTGGCCTATGGGATGAAAACAGTGGGAACAGCATAGTGGCCTAGGAGTGAAGATGCTCACCTCACCACTCAGAAGATTGAAAGTTCAATCCTAAGGAGCGGCAGATGTTTCTTTATTAGGATGCAAAGAAAAAATATCTCCTGCGAACGCCACATAGGTGACAGGAAAGGCATCTGGCCAGTAAAACTGGATGATTCCAGTTGCTGTTAATGGGGGAGAGATCCAGTATATATCCCCTATTTTGTGGAGTGCCTCACAACTCAATCCTTTTTCCTGTCTTGTTTAACATATACATGAGGCCCTTGAGTGAGTAGCCATCGGATGGCTTGAGTGAGTGATACCATGGATGCCTTTTCCCAGTGTCTCAAAGCTGTGGGGAACTAGATGAGGTACAGCAGGCTTCAACTCAATCCAAACAACACTTGAGTGACATTGGGTGTTTGGATTTAGTGGTGCCAGGAGACTTCTATCATTGATCTTGGATGGGACGGCACTGCCACAGAAACACCCAGTGTATAATCTGGGGAGCCTTCTGGACTCATGGCTCCTGCTCAAAGAGTAGGTAACAACTGTGGAAGACCTTTGCACATCTTCAAGTTGTGTGCTAGTTGCATCCATTCCTGGACCAACGGTGCTTACTTGTCATTATACCCTCATGATCTCTTGTCTGGACTACTATAATGCACTGAATGTAGGTGTGCCCTTGAGGAGCATTCAAAAAACTTCAACTGGTGCAGAATGAAGCAGTACAGATAGTAAATGGTACCAGTTATTTGGCACTTGTAACACAACTACTCCATGAGTTGCATTGATTGCCGGAGTGCTTCCAGATACAATTATGGGTGCTGATTGTCACCTTTAAAGGACAAGGTTACTTGAGGGACCAACTCCCCAGCTGTTTTCACCTGACAGATGAGGTCCCATCAGGCCAAGAATGTCAGCTGGTAGGGCTTAGTAGACATGCCTTTTCTGCACTAGTGCCTGGCTTATGAAACATTCTTCCTCTGGAGAATGGCCCCGCCTTTCATAAAGTCCTGAAACCCTGGTTCTAGGCCTGGGACTCCAAAGGTGTGCGGGGATCAATAGTGGGTTGTTGATTTATTACTGATGATGTTACTTAGTTTGGGTAATGAAATGGCTGCAAGAAAACAACCAAGCTCAGAAAGCATCAAGGACACCTTGTAATTGGAAGTATTAAGAATGATCACCATTGGTCTACATTGAACATTTTAATAGCACATATGAAACAAATTCTATCACCTAGTCTAAACAAAAGCAAGTTTGGCTGTCATATGGTGAGGTTATCAACCTATCATTGTTGCCCCAATTCAGGCCAAAGCAAATAATCTCTTATGTGGAGATAAAAGATGTTAGGGTAACATTTAGGGACCGACCAGGGAGGAATGATCATGCTACAAAAGAGACAGGAGACTTTGGCTCTGTCATTGTGGATATCCCATAGAATCCCAGATGCTCTGTTTTAGTCAAATTTCAAAGCAGGCAGTGCTGAGAAGGTAATATCACAATATGCAAAATCATCATTAATTTATCTCCTTAGGCTGGAAGACAATTTATTCAGCAAGGTGAGATGAACTAAGAAATTTCTCAGTAGTCTTGCTTCAGCCAGAATGTAAGACAATGAAGTCATAATTAATTTTAAAAGAAAAAGCAGTCTATTTCTAGTTATGTTAACACACTGTAATGTGAATAAGGTACTGGTAAGATTTTCAAGGACTTTCTATTGGAATGCTTCTAAACTAGAAGAGTTCTTATAAATACACAGCTGAGCACCATATAGCATTATACACAGAACTTTGGCTTTAAATAGTTAATGGCTCCTGGAACATAATTGTCACTAGTTGACCTACAAATTTAGTGGTTGCAAAAGGATGCTTTGGGGGCTTTTATTTGAAGCTTTCTTGTTTGAGTAAACCAGGAGATAGAAGAATACAAATAAAGATCTAGATATTTAAAGGATTTTACCTGCTTGATGGGTTTGCTATTAATTGTCCATCTAATTGGATCTTAAAGCATTACCTAGAAAATACCAATACTTTTGTTCGGGAGTAATTCAGAACAATAGGTGTTCTCTAAAGCAGTAACATGGCATAGCTTTAAGGCATCTTAAGGCCTACTTACTTTACAGACAGTATGGCTGCATAATCAGATAAAATAAATTAGAGATGGAGCAGTAAGAGGGAGGCTTATACATCTCAACAATATTGTTAATGTAAAAGCTGAATAAGAGATGAAATTATTGTCTTGCTCTATACGTTTGCTGATAGGTTCAATTAAATCACCAAGAATATTATTCTTTGCTTGAGTAAAGGTTGTGCCTTGATGGAATACTATTATTAATCTAAGAAAACAACAATTTATCATTGTAATGGCTAATTTTCTCCAGAATTATTCTTGCAGAATAGAATCAGACCTATTCCTCTTCTATTAACAATAAAAAAAACTTTCTATGACCTGCTTCTCATATATTTACTTTATTTGTATCACATTTATCTCTCTACTGCCCCAAGTTATGCCAGCTAGTATTTAACATCTCCTGCTACTTTTAACAGATTAGCTACTTGCTCCCAAACCTTTTCATGGGCTTGCCTGTAATTCCTTGAATAAATACCTTCTATGCTTGTTACCCTGTTTCCCTGAAAATAAGACCTCCCCAGATAATAAGCCCAATCGGGCTTTTGAGTGCATGTGCTAAAATAAGCCCTCCCTGAAAATATTGCAACACAGTAGCAGCCATGAGGTGACCACGCTTGCCATCTTCTGCACCTCAAAAATAATAAGACCTCCCCAAAAATAAGGCCAAGCATTTATTTTGGAGGTCAAAAGAAAATAAGACCCTATCTTATTTTTGAGGAAACACTAAATTTTTAAATTATTATTATTACAAATAATTCAAGATGGCAAACATATACAACACATCTTCCTCCTGTTTTCCCCACAACAAAAATCCTGTGAGGTGGGTTGTGCTGAGAGAGATTGATTGACCAAAAGTCACCTAGCTGACTTTCATGGCTAAGGCAGAATTTGAACTCAGGGTCTCCTGCTTTTTAGTCTGTTGCCTTAACCACAAGTTCAAACTGGCTCTCTTACATGGTATATTTTTGGTCAGAATTGGGGCTCCAGAATCATTAAGATCATTCCTGTTTACAGACATTGGGGGAGAGAGAAAAATGGGCAAATGAGGCACATATAACAAAGTATTAAATTAACCCCCCATCTTTTTTGATTACCATATTTTTGGAGTATAAGACGCCCCCCCCCAAAAAAGAGGGTGAAAATCTTATACACTGAATTCAGCATTTTTGGCCTCCTGAAACCCCACCCCTTTCACAAAAATGGACGTGCATAGCCTTTAGGAAGCCTGCAAAATGCTCCTGGGGACTGGAGATCGTATCAGATAGTCACTTCTTTCATTTAATGTTTAGAAATGTGGCCCATTTTTTTGTTCGTTTTTGCCCGCCAGCCCCCATGAGCACTCTACAAGCTTCCTAAAGGCTATGCATGTCCCTTTTTTTTGCAAAAAAAAGGCCTGTTTTCATGGTTTTTGCTCATCCCCCCACCCCCGAGCAGCACTTACAGGTCTCTCAAACTGCATGCCCCGTTTTTCACAAAAAAATGAGGTGTACGGAGGGTTTGGGAGGTCTGCAGAGTGCAAAAACTTTTTTCTGTTTACCTCTTCAAAATCTTTGTGTGTCTTATACTCCAAAAAACACAGTACTCTTCTCATCAGTCACTAAAAAATAAATTTCTTATTGAATATATAACAGAATAACAGAGTTGGAAGAGACCTTGCAGATCTTTTAGTTTAACCCCCTGCATAAGCACGAAACCCATTTCAGATAAATGGTTGTCAAATCTGTTCTTAAAAACTTCCAGTGTTGGAGTGCACCCACAATTTCTGGGACAAGTCGTCCCACTGATTAATTGTTCTGGAAATAGCAGATCCTCTTTTACTTCAACAGCTAAAGGCATTTTCTTAACTCAGATTTGTAGCTTGATTTCCTTCTATTGTTAAACAAAGCAGAAAGGAAACAAACTTTGTTCTTCCTCGCTTGTAACAATGGTAAAGGTTTAGAATGGGAGGAGGATCTAGAATTTGATCTAAGGAAGATCCAGACAGAGAAAAATAATAGTAAAAGTCAAGTTCTTCAGAGATAGTAATAAGTAGCCTAGGACTAGTCTCAGTTTGGGTGGAAAAAAAACCCAATAACTTTAGCACCACAGATTTCATTTATCTTAATACCAATTGGAGCTTATACTAAAAGCATCCATTGTCGATTTGAAAAGAAGCTACTAAGTTGATTTGCTGAGAAAGGATAATTGTCTTATTTACAGTGCAGTACTTGCAATGTTGCTTTTCTAAGTAAAGAACTAATTTCAGATAACTGAGTTTTGCATGTTCCATTATCACTGCATGCAAGGATGATTTTCAGCTTCATAATTGATAAAATGAATATATATATATATATATACACACACACATACACGGACATAATTCCATAAATGTTCTTGTTATTCCACTGAAGAATTATATTTAGAACTGTTCTTTTCCAAGTGATAAATTCTCAGTTTTAATTGCAAGAAAAAGTATTAACAGAAGAAATCTGTAAAATATATCAACTGTGTTCCTTATTTTCCTTCCCCCCTTTTTTATTTCTCTCCTTATTTTTTGTAAACGTTGTACAAATGAAACTTGCCAATGTTATTGCAATGTGAGAAAATTTTATTTTAACTGTTAAACAAGTAACACGAAATGCTTTTCTTCTGCAGATGTGGAAGCAAAACAAGAAAACAGACATTCAAAAAGCAGTTGTAGGGGGCAAGAAAGCTTCTAATTCAGTTGCCCCTACAACATGAGATGTGGGCCACGTGGTGAGTTTTTTGCCCAGGGTGTAAATGATATCATTTTCATTTACCAAGAAAAGGAAGAAATTAATATTAATAAATAAGAACACATGCACACTACATTAACAGTTGCCAGTAGTGCTTAGTGACTCGATATTTTGCCTACTGTTCAAGCCAAATGAGAGTGGCACATTTAATTTTACCTGCCAGGCAAGGAATATTCACTTTTAAGTTTATCTTCTTTTTCCTGTTAAAAAGTAAAGTGTTTATCCAAAATTCTATTTTATATACATACAGTACTTAATCCTTATCTGAACATTGATTTATTGTTGTTTTCTGTATTTTCTGTATTGCATTGATATAATCTTTTTGGAGCAGGGCTCATGCTTATTATGTTCAACTATTCTGAGTGATGATACTGTATTTTGTCTAGGGTACCCATTATATTTCAGTGAGATAGCAATTTATGATCAGGGCAACTCAGATTCTGTACCAAGAACAGCAGGATTCTATAGTTAGTATTTTGTAAGCAGATTGCCTCTTACTTGAAGTGTCTGCTATTTTTATTTTTTGCATAATATCGATCGTACTATGTAGTGGAAGATAGGAATATTTAGGACATTCCTTATTATAGTTCCTAAAAACATATTTGCAGTATGTTTCTGCTATTCCAGGGACTAGAAACATCTAGTATTGCCAGTTATCTCATTTTTTGACAGAACTATAGCATCACCAACTCTGCATATGATACATGTATAGGCAAAGAAAATCAAACACCTTGGATGCAATCCTATATAAAGTCAGATTCAGCATGGTTCAATTTCTATAATTTAACTCAATACAATATTTGTACTTTATTACAACCAGATGATAATGCTATATAATATTTTCTATATAGGTTTCCCCCCTTTTTTTTTCTAGTTGCTGCTTAAACTGCTACTATTGTATCTTGCTAGTTCTTTTCAGCAAATTTTTAGATTTCTTCTATAGCTAAGCTTTCCTTTCATTTTCTCTTCTCTTTCTGCTTTTAAATTGAACAGAGAGAAAAGTGTCCTTCAGTATCTCAGTATGAAGCCTTTATTTCTGAAGTAACAAGGTATTCGGCTATAGGAGTCATGGTTTTAAAAAATTCAAAAATTTTACAGTCCTTCATGAATAGAACAGTCAAGAAATGCACATCTCCTTTCCTTGAATCAAGGAACTGTACCAGCAGCTGCTGATTTTTTTAAATACTATATTGCACATTGCACTGTTATGCTCTAAAAGAGAATTTTCATCCCTCCGAGGACCAAGGTTTGTGCAGTCTCAAGAACTACTTCAGGAACATAATTAGTGTGTTCTAGTTTCTTTATGAACATGGTCACCAGTTGCTTACTACTTCCACTCTACTAGCATTTAGTTCTGTAAATCTGAATTAAAAAAGACTGTTGTAAATTGTGGAAATAGTTGTAAATACAGGTAGGAAAAATACCTCCACAAGCATCTTGTCACTTCAGTCTTATTGGTGTGCATGATGTTACTCTTAGGAAAACAAAACTGCTGATTATTTTGATGTATATGGCAAGAAGAATAGGTACTTCAAAACACAATTGAATACTTAATAGACCCTCAAATTAATTACTTTTCCATATACTTTGTGTCACAAAAATATATTCATTTTGAGGGGACAAAAAGATGCTAAACACTATTTCTAAAGTTTTGTTGGATGAAATTGATTTTATTTTCAATAAAAACCATCCAAAATAATTTTTCTCATTTTAAGTATTTAATCTATATTTTTAATTTGGTATTTTGAGATAAATGGCTTAAAAAGTGTTTATAGGAAAAATCCATCAAACATTTTTCAAGCTGTTTTAATGACTTACTATCATATTTCTTTCTTATAATGTGCATTAAGGCTGATTAAAATAGTTGATACTTAATATTTATACGTGAACAATACAGGAAATTAGATTTGGTTAAACTTTGCAGATGTACAAGGGTTTCTGGTTTCTATTAAATTTCAAAGTTTATTTTCTTACAAGCCACTAAATTATTAATATTTCCATGATATGTATCATATTTAACCTTAAATGATTTATTTAATCTTAATATATGTGTATCTTTAATTTCATTATTTGTATCTCAGCCAAATTAGTCACAAGTAGAGTTGCAATATCTTGTTTAAATCAGATCCATTGCCTATACATTGTATATATTTTTAAAAAATAATAATTATACTCACCAGGATTTTGCTGACAATCAATGTTATTTCTATTAGATAAAAATAAATCCTGCCCTTTTCTGTGCCAAATGAAAAGCAACCTACAGAGCAATATGGGTCAGCTAAGCAGAACAACTAGATGTCCTGGTTTGGGAGCAATACAATGTATAATCTTCAAACAGCTGTGCCTGGGTAGATTTATTCCTGATTAATGTAACAAATTAAGCCATAATCAATTTCTAATCAGGATTTAACTGAAAAAAATTAAAATATTTTGGTTCACACAACCCACAAAGGTATAGATTCTATATTTACACATCCAGCCAGTAATAGTATTAATGCATTGGTGGTGCATTACCTTAACAACTGGAATAATTCAATGAAATGGGTTCGTATGTTGCACAATTGCAGCCATAAAATTTATGGTGTGTGATATAGGCTCTCCCCGATTTTAATGTGGGGAAAAATTATAGTAGTAGCCAGAGTAGAATGAACTTGTGGCCACCTTTATTTCTCAGAGAATGAAATATGAAAATGGAAATAAAGGGCAGGAACCCTTTCCTTCAGTTCATACAATTTCAACCTATTGGAAAAAAGTAATTTGAATAAATAAATCCTAAAGTTTAAGCCTCCTAGATAGCATTGTCTATTTAGGTAAGAATGGCATTACACTTGATATAGGTAGATTGACATGGTCAAGAGCCAAATCACATTACTATTTGCAGTGGCTGTTTTACACTGGGCACAGCAATGAGATACTTTCTTTTTTATTTATTGATGAAATATCTATCCAGAGATCTTCAAATTGACTATCATTATTATTGTTTATTAAATTTATACTCGGTCTTCTCAAGAAAGTTAAGACAGCTACCATTTAAAAAATACAAACTTAAAAGAAATTCATATTAATGCTAAAATTAATTAATCAGAAATGTAGTGGAACAGATGCATCTAATAAGCATTGAACAATTTTCAAAATTAGTTCCATGAAAATACCAAAGCAGTTGTACTAAATCAGGTTAAATCTAGGTTAGATGAATAAAAAGCTGTGTGGCACACACAAGCCTCTTTATGCAAGCCTCTTTATAAACAACACAGAAATGAAGGGCCTCTTCAGTTGTTCTATGTCATCTTGTGCAATCACTATTACCTGCAGATATGGAAATATGGGAACCTGAAAACTCTCAACATTAGGCGGATTTATGATTCTAATCTTGTACATCTGAATATTTATCAAATAAACTACTGTTTTGTATTAATTACTTTCAAAATGTTTGCAGTTTTGAGAAACACCTGTTTTTCAAGCACTTATTTTTGATTGTACCTATTTTTCTTGATTTTTCAGTTTTGTACATGATTCATACAGTTTATATTTGGATTTAGGTACAAACTTTTTCTACATACAGTTTTACGTAGTACAAGCTTTTGGTATAATGAAGATGACCAAGAGCATAATATTAGTCACATGAGGTTTGCCTAGGAAAAATTAATAATAGATTATGCCTTTTTTAATTATCCAATTTTGGCAGTAGGTTTGGTTTAGTATTGCAAAGTTATATATGTATATTTAGGCATAATCCACAGCTAAAATGAATTATCATCTTGTGTTAATGAAACCTAACACTGATATTTCTGGACAGGGAGTTTGAGATTTGTGAACTATATGTAATTTGTCTCCATAGCTCTCTTTAAAAATGTATTTTGTGAAAAGCCAGATGATTTTCTGCTGATAACTTAAGACAAATAAATCTTGATACAGGTATTCTTCAGGAAAACCAAAGCCTTGTTTGTTTATAGCTTTCCTTTCCAGACTACATTTGAATATAACTGGCTTTCCTTATCTCTCTAGATTTCACAAATTTTTAATCTAAAGAAATTAAAATGTATGCCATAGTTCCTTGTCCCAATTTTCATTAATGATTCATAAAAATATTTTTTAAAAAATATAAATCTGTAGCAGTGTCAATGTGTCACTTTGAAATCAGTCACCTTTAGGACTAAATGCAAGGGCTTTTTTCTTTATACACACCATTCAGCAGCTGCAAAATAAAAGTTGCAAATTTGCTGTAATACAATGAAAATATTCCCACTCTGTTGCTGCTGATTGCTAAAGCTACAATCATTCTTTCCAGAATGCATTATTTCTTAAAATTCTTGTATTTTGAGAGATGGCACAGCTCCAACATGGGGCCAATATAAGTTCTTTGTAAACTCTATATTGTATTGTGTATAACTCAAACATTGTTCAGAATGGAACTGCCTTAAAAGGAAAAACAGCATGTGGCTGTGACACAAACTAAACACTGTTATACAGAAACTGTTATTTAAAATTGTAACTTCCTTTCTTATACCTAATAAGGAATTTTGTAATGTTTGCCATTGTACACTACTTATGTTATTAAAATTTGAAACAAAATAGTTGTGAACTTTCTCTTATTTTGAAAGAACCTTGTTTGGCCCTTCAGAACAACAGTCACATTCCATACTTTGCCTTTAATGAGTTTTCCTAACCTTTATATTGGAAAAAGACCTATTATAACTTTGGTACAGTTATAGAAGCCTTTAAGGACCACTCTTCATACTTTTGGAGAGATTAGAGCCACAATGAATGACACAAAGTAGGTGGAGCAACACTGCACACGGTGATAATGGGGTAATTTCTCTCTTGGGAAAGAGTGCTGGGTTTATTTATTTTATCATATTATTATAGTTACCTATCTCACATATTGATTCTGAATGGCGTACACAATAAAATAAAATACATTAAAACCATAATTTAAATTTAATTTTTTTTAAAAGGAAACAAGACAAAACATACAAAGTGCACAAAGAGCACATTTTTCTAATCTTATAAATCATGAATGAATTAATCATAAATCTCAGCACTAAAAGGAGTGGAGATCTACCTCTGTGATTTTCCAATGATGACTTCCATTTCAGAAAACCTCTCTGAATGTAGCATATAGTTATACATGCAAGTTCCAACCTAGGTACTCTATTGGGTTAAAAAACTATTTGTGGCTTTCATCAAAATGCACAATTATGGGTTCATGTGCTGTGGACTTCAGAAATTTTAGGAAGTCATCTGGGTGCAGGCCCATAGTTGCTGCATTAGTCATTGGGTGAAAATAAATCCTATCGTGACCTCCTTCCAGAAAGCCAGCATCCAAAACAAAGTTCACATTTCCCTGATCGCAGAAAAGAGCTAAGGGGGTTGCACATCCTTGGCCAACTTTCAGCTTGTCCAACATGGCTGCTTCATCAGCAAAACGCAGGTTCCCACTCCCAATACCCAGTTTCTTTGCCAAATCATTTAAATTGATTTGTCGATCGTGCAGAACTGTCACCAGCCAAAAGCTTTTTTTCTTCTTATCTTTAAGGAAAAGGTTTTTGCTGTGAGCTCCATTTAAGTGTTGTACATAAGGCATCATTTCTTCAACTGTAAATACCTGGAAGAGAGAAATGAACTGTGAATTCCTTGAACTATTTACCTGCTACATGTTTTTCAAATTGCATATAACCTGCACTTTTAAGGGGTGACTTTCAGCAGAATAATTACATACATATCTTTTTTTTAAAGCTAAAATCCTTTTCCCTGCTCAGGTTAATATGGCACATATTTCACATAGCTAACATGATATAAATTAATTGCAATCAATCAAAGGAAATCAGGAAGCTTCTGAACTATCCAAAATAATTTTCTTAGCACTTTAAATTTATCCTGTTTGTTGTTTTAATTATTATAACATTAACAAATGTTTATAATGAAGAACATAAAAAAGAATATATTTGATTTATTTGGACAATCAGCTGATATCATGACTAAAGTCCCTCAGTGATACCAAGCCGTATTATGTCTTGGTATTATGTCTTGGTGTGTAGCTTGTAACATCTTAATGTTTATTGTACTCTAGGACAGGGGTCTCCAAACTTGGCAACTTTTAAGACTTGTGGAGTTCAACTCCCAGAAAGTTGCCAATTTTGGGGATCCCTGCTCTAGGACAACATGATCAGTGAGGCAGATATGGCCGTATGTTAACATGGTTTATAATTTAACGTGTTATGCAGGTCTTCTGTACCAGGGCCTAAAACTCGACATGTTTTATCACTTCGCTGCTTCTAGTAATACCACTCTGCCTAGTGTAATGCGGATACAACTAACAAGCCTGCAATTTTAAGTTTAAGTTTTAATAGATTTGTATGCCGCCCTTATTTCAGAACAATAAACTCCATTAACTCAGGCCGACTCGCTTCACGTGCATCGACTTGGCATTAAGTTATTCCATTTTTGGAAAAAGTGATTTTAAAAAAGGAGGGTGGATTGATCAGCCACGTCCCAGACGCAGCTGCCTTTCCCCGCACATCGGCTTCTTTATTGGCTGTTGCCGGGCCCCTTCTCTCCAGAACGCTTCATTTCGCGGCTTCTTCACTCACTTCGGGATGTTCCACGCTGAGTGCTTGGATGCCCAGGCCCTGCAAGTGAGCCTCCAGCGCCTCGCGAAGCCCCCTCACTGGAGGCGGCGGCTCGGCCATTGCAAGCTCTGCCCACCGTACTTCCCGCAAACCTTTCGGGAGACTGAGCAGGAGGCGGAGACGCCTTTCTCTCGAGCAATGACAGCTTCCTTCTAAATCCTAGCGCGGCCACCGGCGACCGAAACACCGGAAGCGGAAGACATGTCAACACTTGAAGCGCTGCCCGTTTGCCTGCTGGATGGCATCGCTTAGCCAACCTTGCCCGATTTTTAAAAAAGCGGAAAACTACCAGGACATTCCAGGGATATAAATTAGACACCGTAGTAGAAAAACATTCTGGAAACAGGTATTCCATATTTTGCCAAAATTAGTAAGTGTCAGTGTTTCTATGCCGTTACTAGCCGTTTGATCTGGATTGGAGTGTGAACATCTGTATTCTGAGAATAGCTTTGTATTGTGAGCAACAATGGCATTTATTCAAAAATAAATCCTCAGTGACTTTACTGGGAGTCCAGCAGGTTCCCTGGAAGCAGGTAGGGATTGGGACACTGGGATAGTTTTATCTTGTTCTTTAGCTTGTCCCTCCCCCTTCCAATCAATCAATAAATAGGTCTTCCCTGATTAACGTCCTTGTCATCTGTAAGTCTCCATTTTTTATTATTTGTATTGCTTAACGCTGGCATAGCATTTCAGAGTTGTGACCATATAGTTACTGGAGGTCTTAAAGGAAGGTATTTCTTTTACACCTTTCAAGGGAATCCGATTGGAGAATGCTGATTTAAAAAAAAAACTGTGTACATGATGTATTAAAAGCTACATCTAGTCTTAACCATGAGTACTGAACAATGCTTATGCCCAAACTAGCCCATGACAGTTTGGTTTAGAGTGGACCTCTCAAACTGCTTGTAGCCCACATAGAGAACTTCTAGTAATTTTTTACCCCTGCAACATTTTGTAGGCACTGCAGATGCTACCCAGTTCCTTCCTAAATATATCTTCCAAAAAGTATTATATATCCAGTAATAAAATGAAATGCTGGTGTTTCCGTTAATATAAAACTAGCAACTAAGTGGCCAAAGTTAAATGACTGTTTTCAGTAATGCTTCACTGTGAAGTTTATTTAACACATTTATTTAATGGCATATGATAATCAGATTCTTCATTTTTGACTCACAAGTAACTTTTGTGTCATTGTTTTAAAAAAGCTTACGTTTTGGGCCCTTAGGTTAGCGAACTTATCTCCATAAGCATTACAACTTTAGTTTGAGTGTTCTGTTTCAGAGTTGTATTTGAATTCAGTCTTTATTTGCAATTTGCAAAACTGGTGCCTCACAGTCTGTTTCTCCAATGTAAAATGCCATTGGTAATGTTTGCCTGGCTTGATGAAAATTGAAGTCCACATGGAAGGAAGACAGTACTGAGTGCCACATTTCTCCTTTCAAAATGACCTTTTCTATTAACTTCCATTATTACCTGTATATGTATATAATATACCATCCTAATGGTACAAACCAAACCACCCACTTGATAATTGAATTTTCCAAGTGAGTTATCTAAAGACAATTGATCAGTTTAATTTATGATTTCATGCATATGGGTTAACCATGCAATAAAAATATGAAAATAATGTTTTATTTTAGAATAAAAACTTATTATAAATAGGCAGTTTAATTTTAAAACAAAGTAAATTACTGAAACTCTACTTATCATTTGTAGTTTCCGCATCTTTATACTACAATATTTCAATATAAGCATACATCTGAATGTTAAAAATTGCATCTATTTTGTATTCAGGCTTCATATGGAAATATTTATGATGCAATCTTAGGACTATCTTCTCAAAACTGGTAGATATGTAGATACATATATATATGTTTGTATGTGTAAGTATATGTATGTCCTATATTGTGAATAATTTCCAGAGGGTTCAATGAGACTTACCTCTAGACAAGTAGTGTCTAAATTACTTTTATTATAAACTAGCCAAACAGCAAATCAAATAATAGTGATTTTAATCATCCTCCAAAAATTCTGAAGCTCAAATACAAGGCATTTTACTAAGAAGCTCACAGAACACAGTGAAATTCATTTCTGAATAAACGTTACTTCATTTAGACTTAAATGGATATGTTTCAATGCTTGATTTTTATTTTGTTTTCCATTATAAAATATAATAGGTTCATTTGTATAAGTTCTGTTAAAATGAATTCATGATTTTATATAGCTACCATTCTTTAAATGGAATTTGCATAAGAAAACCTCTTTGCACAAGACCCTCTTAGAATGCTGTTACTTTTTGTGTATGCAGCAGGAAGAGTTTGTTAAGAGCAACAAAATGTTCTAATCTTGGTCCTTTAATGGTAAACAGAATAAATTTGCATTCATTCTGAAGAAACATAGATATTAAGCTGAATGGCCTTAATTGTGCATTCACCCTTATTTGGCACTTACTGACTATATGGGTTGTAAAATGAATTTCATTTGAACTGAATGATGACAACAGCTATTTATAGTGTGTTTTATTAAATAAATCAATCATTTCATTTCATTATTAAACTTACAGTAAGGGAAGCACCCATTATTGGTTGGTTATTTTATCATTTCATTTCATTATTAAACTTACAGTAAGGGAAACACTCATTATTGGTTGGCTATTTTATCATTTAGTGGGCTGTGTACATACAACAGTTCATTTAGTGATCTTTGAAAAAAGTGATGTGACCAATTTTCACACTTATGACTGTTGCAGCATCCCTATAGTCATGTCATCAATACTCAAATACTTGGCAACTAAGTCATATTTATGATGGTTGCAGTGTCCCAGGATCATGTGATCCCCTTTTGCGATCTTCTGACAAGCAAAGTTAATGGGGAAGCCAGATTCACTTAACAACCGTGTTTCTAATTTACCAGCTGCAGTGATTCACTTAACAACTGTGGCAAGAAAGTTCATAAATGGGGAAAAACCCCACAAATCTCTTCCTTAGCAACAGAAATTTTGGACTCAACTGAAACTTCTATCATATGCTTNAAGAGTGCTGGGTTTATTTATTTTATCATATTATTATAGTTACCTATCTCACATATTGATTCTGAATGGCGTACACAATAAAATAAAATACATTAAAACCATAATTTAAATTTAATTTTTTTTAAAAGGAAACAAGACAAAACATACAAAGTGCACAAAGAGCACATTTTTCTAATCTTATAAATCATGAATGAATTAATCATAAATCTCAGCACTAAAAGGAGTGGAGATCTACCTCTGTGATTTTCCAATGATGACTTCCATTTCAGAAAACCTCTCTGAATGTAGCATATAGTTATACATGCAAGTTCCAACCTAGGTACTCTATTGGGTTAAAAAACTATTTGTGGCTTTCATCAAAATGCACAATTATGGGTTCATGTGCTGTGGACTTCAGAAATTTTAGGAAGTCATCTGGGTGCAGGCCCATAGTTGCTGCATTAGTCATTGGGTGAAAATAAATCCTATCGTGACCTCCTTCCAGAAAGCCAGCATCCAAAACAAAGTTCACATTTCCCTGATCGCAGAAAAGAGCTAAGGGGGTTGCACATCCTTGGCCAACTTTCAGCTTGTCCAACATGGCTGCTTCATCAGCAAAACGCAGGTTCCCACTCCCAATACCCAGTTTCTTTGCCAAATCATTTAAATTGATTTGTCGATCGTGCAGAACTGTCACCAGCCAAAAGCTTTTTTTCTTCTTATCTTTAAGGAAAAGGTTTTTGCTGTGAGCTCCATTTAAGTGTTGTACATAAGGCATCATTTCTTCAACTGTAAATACCTGGAAGAGAGAAATGAACTGTGAATTCCTTGAACTATTTACCTGCTACATGTTTTTCAAATTGCATATAACCTGCACTTTTAAGGGGTGACTTTCAGCAGAATAATTACATACATATCTTTTTTTTAAAGCTAAAATCCTTTTCCCTGCTCAGGTTAATATGGCACATATTTCACATAGCTAACATGATATAAATTAATTGCAATCAATCAAAGGAAATCAGGAAGCTTCTGAACTATCCAAAATAATTTTCTTAGCACTTTAAATTTATCCTGTTTGTTGTTTTAATTATTATAACATTAACAAATGTTTATAATGAAGAACATAAAAAAGAATATATTTGATTTATTTGGACAATCAGCTGATATCATGACTAAAGTCCCTCAGTGATACCAAGCCGTATTATGTCTTGGTATTATGTCTTGGTGTGTAGCTTGTAACATCTTAATGTTTATTGTACTCTAGGACAGGGGTCTCCAAACTTGGCAACTTTTAAGACTTGTGGAGTTCAACTCCCAGAAAGTTGCCAATTTTGGGGATCCCTGCTCTAGGACAACATGATCAGTGAGGCAGATATGGCCGTATGTTAACATGGTTTATAATTTAACGTGTTATGCAGGTCTTCTGTACCAGGGCCTAAAACTCGACATGTTTTATCACTTCGCTGCTTCTAGTAATACCACTCTGCCTAGTGTAATGCGGATACAACTAACAAGCCTGCAATTTTAAGTTTAAGTTTTAATAGATTTGTATGCCGCCCTTATTTCAGAACAATAAACTCCATTAACTCAGGCCGACTCGCTTCACGTGCATCGACTTGGCATTAAGTTATTCCATTTTTGGAAAAAGTGATTTTAAAAAAGGAGGGTGGATTGATCAGCCACGTCCCAGACGCAGCTGCCTTTCCCCGCACATCGGCTTCTTTATTGGCTGTTGCCGGGCCCCTTCTCTCCAGAACGCTTCATTTCGCGGCTTCTTCACTCACTTCGGGATGTTCCACGCTGAGTGCTTGGATGCCCAGGCCCTGCAAGTGAGCCTCCAGCGCCTCGCGAAGCCCCCTCACTGGAGGCGGCGGCTCGGCCATTGCAAGCTCTGCCCACCGTACTTCCCGCAAACCTTTCGGGAGACTGAGCAGGAGGCGGAGACGCCTTTCTCTCGAGCAATGACAGCTTCCTTCTAAATCCTAGCGCGGCCACCGGCGACCGAAACACCGGAAGCGGAAGACATGTCAACACTTGAAGCGCTGCCCGTTTGCCTGCTGGATGGCATCGCTTAGCCAACCTTGCCCGATTTTTAAAAAAGCGGAAAACTACCAGGACATTCCAGGGATATAAATTAGACACCGTAGTAGAAAAACATTCTGGAAACAGGTATTCCATATTTTGCCAAAATTAGTAAGTGTCAGTGTTTCTATGCCGTTACTAGCCGTTTGATCTGGATTGGAGTGTGAACATCTGTATTCTGAGAATAGCTTTGTATTGTGAGCAACAATGGCATTTATTCAAAAATAAATCCTCAGTGACTTTACTGGGAGTCCAGCAGGTTCCCTGGAAGCAGGTAGGGATTGGGACACTGGGATAGTTTTATCTTGTTCTTTAGCTTGTCCCTCCCCCTTCCAATCAATCAATAAATAGGTCTTCCCTGATTAACGTCCTTGTCATCTGTAAGTCTCCATTTTTTATTATTTGTATTGCTTAACGCTGGCATAGCATTTCAGAGTTGTGACCATATAGTTACTGGAGGTCTTAAAGGAAGGTATTTCTTTTACACCTTTCAAGGGAATCCGATTGGAGAATGCTGATTTAAAAAAAAAACTGTGTACATGATGTATTAAAAGCTACATCTAGTCTTAACCATGAGTACTGAACAATGCTTATGCCCAAACTAGCCCATGACAGTTTGGTTTAGAGTGGACCTCTCAAACTGCTTGTAGCCCACATAGAGAACTTCTAGTAATTTTTTACCCCTGCAACATTTTGTAGGCACTGCAGATGCTACCCAGTTCCTTCCTAAATATATCTTCCAAAAAGTATTATATATCCAGTAATAAAATGAAATGCTGGTGTTTCCGTTAATATAAAACTAGCAACTAAGTGGCCAAAGTTAAATGACTGTTTTCAGTAATGCTTCACTGTGAAGTTTATTTAACACATTTATTTAATGGCATATGATAATCAGATTCTTCATTTTTGACTCACAAGTAACTTTTGTGTCATTGTTTTAAAAAAGCTTACGTTTTGGGCCCTTAGGTTAGCGAACTTATCTCCATAAGCATTACAACTTTAGTTTGAGTGTTCTGTTTCAGAGTTGTATTTGAATTCAGTCTTTATTTGCAATTTGCAAAACTGGTGCCTCACAGTCTGTTTCTCCAATGTAAAATGCCATTGGTAATGTTTGCCTGGCTTGATGAAAATTGAAGTCCACATGGAAGGAAGACAGTACTGAGTGCCACATTTCTCCTTTCAAAATGACCTTTTCTATTAACTTCCATTATTACCTGTATATGTATATAATATACCATCCTAATGGTACAAACCAAACCACCCACTTGATAATTGAATTTTCCAAGTGAGTTATCTAAAGACAATTGATCAGTTTAATTTATGATTTCATGCATATGGGTTAACCATGCAATAAAAATATGAAAATAATGTTTTATTTTAGAATAAAAACTTATTATAAATAGGCAGTTTAATTTTAAAACAAAGTAAATTACTGAAACTCTACTTATCATTTGTAGTTTCCGCATCTTTATACTACAATATTTCAATATAAGCATACATCTGAATGTTAAAAATTGCATCTATTTTGTATTCAGGCTTCATATGGAAATATTTATGATGCAATCTTAGGACTATCTTCTCAAAACTGGTAGATATGTAGATACATATATATATGTTTGTATGTGTAAGTATATGTATGTCCTATATTGTGAATAATTTCCAGAGGGTTCAATGAGACTTACCTCTAGACAAGTAGTGTCTAAATTACTTTTATTATAAACTAGCCAAACAGCAAATCAAATAATAGTGATTTTAATCATCCTCCAAAAATTCTGAAGCTCAAATACAAGGCATTTTACTAAGAAGCTCACAGAACACAGTGAAATTCATTTCTGAATAAACGTTACTTCATTTAGACTTAAATGGATATGTTTCAATGCTTGATTTTTATTTTGTTTTCCATTATAAAATATAATAGGTTCATTTGTATAAGTTCTGTTAAAATGAATTCATGATTTTATATAGCTACCATTCTTTAAATGGAATTTGCATAAGAAAACCTCTTTGCACAAGACCCTCTTAGAATGCTGTTACTTTTTGTGTATGCAGCAGGAAGAGTTTGTTAAGAGCAACAAAATGTTCTAATCTTGGTCCTTTAATGGTAAACAGAATAAATTTGCATTCATTCTGAAGAAACATAGATATTAAGCTGAATGGCCTTAATTGTGCATTCACCCTTATTTGGCACTTACTGACTATATGGGTTGTAAAATGAATTTCATTTGAACTGAATGATGACAACAGCTATTTATAGTGTGTTTTATTAAATAAATCAATCATTTCATTTCATTATTAAACTTACAGTAAGGGAAGCACCCATTATTGGTTGGTTATTTTATCATTTCATTTCATTATTAAACTTACAGTAAGGGAAACACTCATTATTGGTTGGCTATTTTATCATTTAGTGGGCTGTGTACATACAACAGTTCATTTAGTGATCTTTGAAAAAAGTGATGTGACCAATTTTCACACTTATGACTGTTGCAGCATCCCTATAGTCATGTCATCAATACTCAAATACTTGGCAACTAAGTCATATTTATGATGGTTGCAGTGTCCCAGGATCATGTGATCCCCTTTTGCGATCTTCTGACAAGCAAAGTTAATGGGGAAGCCAGATTCACTTAACAACCGTATTGCTAACTTAACAGCTGCAGTGATTCACTTAACAACTGTGGCAAGAAAGTTCATAAATGGGGAAAAACCCCACAAATCTCTTCCTTAGCAACAGAAATTTTGGACTCAACTGAAACTTCTATCATATGCTTGAATGAATGATAGTCCCCATCTCACTCTTCCTCCAATGTCTTGTGCAGACAGAGCCCTATTCTGCTTCCTTGGCAAGGCAGAATAGAGTTTGGAAATGCAATCAACACTTCTTTGTGTCAGTATACTTTCCTGCCAACTCTCACACTGGATAACAAACAGACTCCAGTGCTGCCGTGAGGAAGACCCCAACCCTATTATCATCATAATTGTTATTCCACGTCAATTCATTTAAGGATGCAGTTATGCACTGTACACACTGGTGTACTGTGTCTAAAGGAGAACTTGACTGTCTCCAGTGTTTTCCAGCCCTAGAACAAATACTTTATTATATCCAAGAAAATATATGATTTTTGGCAAATGTTTTAAGTCTTTTCTCCTTGCAGCAGATCAGTCTAACATTCTAAGTTCTAACAATAATATGTGCCCTGCTAGGCCAAATCTCAAATAGAAATATACATGAAAGACATCTGTTAATGCAATTTATGACTTTAAAAAGATGCAACTCTCCCCACCCTCAAAGAACAAACTCAACCACTCTAGTATTATGCAAGAAATTAAATTGTTATTTAAAGAAATAATGAAGCTGCTTTAAACTGAAGAAGTCACATATTCCTAAATGCAGCTGTTGTCCTCAGGAGTCAACCTGGAAACAAATGGGTTACTATTTATCCCACTTAAGCCCACATTCAGAAGTTTCTTCGGGCAATCTTTTGAAAAGTTTCTCATGGTTGAGGGGGGCTTTCCTAATTTATACCTTTTCATTGGCAAAAAGGTACGTAATCACTTTAAAGCAAGGATCTCCAAACTTGGCTACTTTGAGACTTGTGGACTTCAACTTCCAGAGTTCCTCAGCCAGCTTACTTTGCTGGCAAAGGAATTCTGGGAGTTTTTCTGGGAAGTCCACAAGTCTTAAAGTGGCCAAGGTTGGAGACCCCTGCTTTAAACTACGAGCCAGTTTCAGCCCTTATCTGATCTGAGGGCAAACGAAAGTCTGGTGGCTTTGGGAATTAATACTGAGCGTGCGCGAAAACTCCGCATGCTCAATTGCCTAGGCGGGTTACGGTTTATTTTGTTTGCTTCATCCACCTTTTTAACACTGCTACTTTTTAAATTTTTGCTGAACGGATTCATTTAGAAAAGCAGGTAGCCGAAGAGCTCACGGATGAATAGCGGGACAATAAAAAAAAGTCAGCAGCGGATATTAACGCTATGCTTGTGGACCTTGCTTGCAAGAGGGAGGCGCGCTCAAACGGCTGGAAGCAGAGGAATGACTAGTTGATAGGGGGGCGGGTGCCATCTTCTGGCTGGGCGGTAGTAAAGCGCTTAAAGAGACGGAAGGTAAACCCTATGTGAGATATTAAAAGAAGAAGAAAAAACAGTGAAGGCTCGGCGGATTTGTCTGTTCTTTTAGCGTCTGGACAGCTGAAAGAGTGGCTTCTTTCAGAACTGCGCGTGCGCTTTCTCTCTCTAATATTGCTTGCTTCTCTTCTGCAGAAAGTTAGCTTTGTTGGTCTGCATCACCAAGAAGAAGAAAAATAATAGTAATTTTGGCACAAGGACCCCTCGGTCCTAAGCCGATGCTCCTGGGTGGCGTCTTTTTAGGGGATGCGTTTTACCAACCACATATCCCTTCATTGTTAAATTGCTAGGTTCCAGATGTGACAGTTTACTGTTTTATTTAGAAGTCCCAAAGGTGTTTTTTCAGGAGGCAACTGGACTTTCTTGTTCTTTTCTTTGAAGACGTTTCGCTTCTCATCCAAGAAACTTCTAGATACAGGCTGCAAAAATTCTGATCGCCACAAAATGACAACAATACAGATTTGAACACTTTGCTACCAGCTACTGGTAGTCTTAATTTTATGATTAATGTAAACAAAATTGGTTATGGCCTCTGTATTTTTGAATACTGGCTTAACAAAAAAAAAGTTTCATCGGGTAATGCCATCATTTTCTCTTCCAAATCATTGTGGAAGGAAGTTACAGCAGCTGTATCCTCTTTTGCTTTCGGGGGTATCTCTTTTTAGACTGTCCACTTGAAAATTGTTTCATTCAAGCTCTATTTTTTTTTCTTGGTTACAGTACAGATAGAAACATGAATTGGATGCCGCCACTAGAGAAATTGGCCCGTTTATTTAGTGCTTGCAGGCAGCTGCAATCCCTGACTTACCGAAAACAGTGGAAGTCTATCCTGTCCTCTGCCTATCCCATGTGTCCCATTCAGCTGCACCCACTGCTCTGGCATCCACACACCACCTCACAATTCAGGCCTTTCACCACCAAGGAGGTAATTAATAGTTACTTTATTCTTGCCTTGAATGACTTTTGTGTGCCTCTAGCTAAGAAATAAAAGACAATGTTGTTTATAGAGAGATGCAGTAGAGGTAAATATAAATATTGTAGACTTTCCAAACAATTGCATGCATGTTTTTTGTCGAGCTGGCCTCCAAAAAGAAGAGCAACCTGTCCAAAATGCATCAGTGCAGAACAACCAATTGATTCCTTTCTTTATTTTTTATAAATGTTTTGAATTGTAGTTAAGAGGAAGAATTCTGAGTTCACTTGATGCTGTGCCCCTTTCAAGCATTTGTGCTCTATTCAGTGAATGTTATCACTAGGAGATCTTTGCATACTATTGCATGTATCAACTTCCTGGGAGAATATGTGGGTTTCATTAGAAAAGTATTAAAAAGTTTTAATCTGGAATCATTTTGCCAAACTTCAGTCAACTTTAGTAATAAATTAACAATTAGAGAAGAAGAGGGATTAACACAGCTTCATTGTCATGAGTCCAGGCAAGCAACCTTAGCATTAGTGGGGAGACAAAAGGTTGAAATGTGGGTGAAAAGACACATCACATATATTGACACAACTTTTCTCTCAGGAGTAGGGGATTTCTTTGTTTATTTTTAAACTTATTTGCCTATTTAGAACTTACCGGTACACCATTTGTTCCAGAATGACAGGAAATTATGCCATTTTTTTAGCAGTCATATTTAGATTGAGTTTCAGGGGCCACAAAATTGATGAGAACTCGGATTTGTGAAGATCATGAGAGTCATGAGAATCCAGGCCTTTAGTTTAAGGCTAAGTGTATTGAGTTGATCCAGTGACTAAATATATTGTTCTTAAACTTTGTTATAGAGAGAAAAATTGGGCAAAGGGAAATTGAAGCCTGTACAGATGAAAGCAAAGAAGCAAGAGGTTGAGATAAAGCGTACAATGACTGTGGAGGAGCTTGCAAAAGCGATGCATAAAGATATAGGTGAGCCGGTTCTTTCAAATAATACCTGGAAATTACAAAAGGAGCAATTCCTGATCTTCCTTTCAGCTGATTGATATCCTTGTGTTGCAGCTTCATTTTTGAATCCCACATATTTAGTTTCAAAGACGGGGTATATACTGCACAAAAAACCCATAGAGCACTGGCAGTCCACAATTTTAGAAAAATCTCTGATTCCTTCCTTCTGTCAGGTCATAATTTCTGATTTTTGAGTACAAATAGATACATGTGGTTCAGATTAACCATTTCCCCTTCATGTCCTTTTTGTATTTTCCTCTCATATTTTGTGGATTACTGCCTGGGAAACAGGCCTGGCCTAGTGTGTTACCTGAGACTGCTAAGGCACAGAATTTAGTATATAATTTGATCTAGTTCTTCAATTGTCTCGCTCTTAGTCTTTTTTCATTGCATAAAATATATTTTAAGAATGTGTTGGTAATCATAACAGCATTGAAATCTGACAAAGCATCAAAGTATTTGAGGACTGCATATCCTGTCTGGACAATGGAAATTACATGACAAACATTTTCTCCAGTTAGTGCTACTATATCATAGGCCTCTCCCTTGGTTGGATCATTGCTCAATGAACGTTGTGTTTTTATATTCAGATCATGTGTATGAAGCTCTGCTGAACACAGATATAGATTTAGATTCACTAGAACCAGATTCAATCTTGGAAGTAAATTGGATCAAAGACATCGTTAAAAAATCTGGCATGCAATACAAATGGGCTGAACTGAAAGAAGAAAAAGAAAAAGAAAATAAAGATGTGGTTAGAAGGTAACATCTATGCTTAAGTGGGTTTTTTAGTGCTGGATTTAAACATAACTTGTATAATATATGTAATCCAGTATATGTGAAGTGCAGAAAATGATGAGCCCTTGGAGACTGTTGTTAATCTGTTTGTTGTTGAGCAGCGCCTAAACCGAAGTCCAATTTTATGTAAACATACTGCTGTGCAAGCTATGATCTATAATGCAGTTAAATCCTTTAAAGGCAACATTCTATTCAACATATCCCATCACTAGGAAGCATGTGCAGTGCACTGTTTCTCTCAAAGCCACAATTTAATTTTCAGATAAAAGTAAATCATGAAAATATTTATTGGAACTTTTAATTAGTAACCTAAATTATATTTCTAATGTATATTTATTTGGATTATACTAATCATATTCACTGTGAAAGTATGTTCAGTATTGAATTACCTTGCATAAGACGTGCATCCTTTTAGCTATTTCAGCACTCCATCTTCTTATCACATCTATTTCTATTTCATGTATTTTTTTGCAACTTCATCCCTCAATGTATTTCTTTTATATTGAACACTCACTTTTGTATTCAATCCACTTTAATCCCATATCCATTTTCACTCCATTCCCACTGCATTTAACTTTTTATGTATCTTTGACATACCCAATTCTTGTTTCTATAAACCAGCAAAGCAAATACCTTTATATGCAGCCATTTAAACTTCTTTAGGAAGCATTCTTTCCCCTCGTTAGACCATAATACTATTACAACCTTTCAGCTATCTTAAAATTTCTCCATCCATATCCCCATCTTCAGTAAACATTCTATCAAAGTAGATAAATGCATTTACTTATTCCTCCTTTTTGCCACTTATATGTAATTTGTATTTGTTCACTTAATTTTCCTTGTTGGGTAGGTTTTTGATCCATTCATGTTTAACATCCATATTTATACTATATAATATTTTATCTGAACAACACATTTAATATCACCACAACCATTCTGTAAACATTTATCCATTAATGCATGAAATAACCACAGGACATCACACATCTTTGATCAATGATGAATGGTAAGTGTTTCATTTATTTTTAAATATGATTTTTCCTATATATATTGTTCTTACTTTATTTAGTAGCCAAACTTCACTTTCATATTTGCATAAAGTAAAACCCATTTACTTTACCAGAATCTTACTCTAAATCAACAATGTGCTGTAAACATATTTTCTCACATTCATACATTTTTCAGTGGCCTGCCAAGAATCATAATTATACACATAAACTGTCTAACATCTCAAATTCCCAAATATTGTTCATATCATCTCTTACGTATTTCAGTCAGGAATTTGCCAAACATATTTTTAGCATGCAATTTTTCTGCCATTCTATTTGTATGCAAAATGAAGCTACTTCTGTTTAGAGAGAAGGAAAATTGGAACCAAAGTACTACCATGACCTCTTTAGTTCATATGAATAGAAAATAAATAGTTGCCCACAAGAATTTTTATCTGCCTTCTACTAATGTTAAACATTTTATTACATTTTGATATGAAATAAAAGAATTCATATAACCTTTTAAGTACTTCCTTCTCCTATTTGCTCCACAACAACAACCATGTGAGGTGGGTTGGCTGAGAGAGAGTAACTGCCCAAAATCATCTAGCTGGCTTTCTAGCTTTCCAGCTAAGGAGGGACTACAATTGAAAGTCTCCCAGTTTCTAGTCCGGTACTTTAACCCGTACACCAAAGTGGCTCTGTCCCCCTACTTCCTGGGAGATGCTGAAAGAAGGTGAACTATGAAAGAAAATCACAGTTGGTAATTTTCAAGAAATTTGAACTGATGATTTTATAAAACACGCTAATTTATTTAGTGTTAACAAGTGTTAAGCACCGATTGATCCTGTAGAAACTACTGTAACAAAACAAGTTGCTCCTTGGATAAGTGGTAGAACACCTTCCCTTGCAAAAGGTCTTAAATGAGACAGATTTCTCTGAATTCCTGGAAAATCACTTCCAATGGTGACACTACAGAGAGTTATGGTTCAATGGTCTGAATTCTATTCCTGAGTTTAAATAGAACTCATTACAGCGATTCTGATCATAGTTTTATATAAGCAATTGATCTGGAAACCCAAAATCTATACTTAGGGCATGATTCCAACCCTCATGTGGGTTTCCCGGTACCCTGAAAGTGCAGCTCAAACAGCTGGTGGCAAAAAGGCAGCATTTTCTGACCATTTTTCATGGATAGGTGCAGTTAGAGCTGAGACTTTGCTTCCCAGAAGTTACCCACAGATTAAAGTACCTTTTCAAACACCCCCCAAAATGCTCAAGATTTTCAATTTTCCTTCTAGTTGCCAATATGACATGTTGTTTACGGAAAACTTAGGAGGTCAAACATTCATGGGTTCCCTATTTAGAATTTAGCCATGAAAACCGTGTTTCCTTCTTAGGTTAAAAAAAACTGCATCTAAAGGACACTCTAGTTCCAAATTGTTGTTGTTACAAAAAGTTGAAATACAGAGATTGGGAATTTTAAGAGCTTTATTAAGCATAGAATACAAAACATAAAAAGGCTTATTTCATTTAAAATTGAATGTATTACTTTTGGTTGCAGGCCTCCTCAAAATCCAGCTTTATTAACCCCCAAGCCTCCAGTTATTACTGTATTGGGCCATGTTGATCATGGAAAAACTACGTTGCTTGATAGCCTGCGAAATACTAATGTGGCGGCAATAGAGGCAGGAAGTATCACCCAGCATATTGGTGCCTTTCTTGGTATGATTTATTTGAGTATTACTCTGTTGTCAATTTCTCATCTGCAATAGTCATTATTAGTGCTTTTTGCCAGCTTTCTCTTAGAGCTAAATTCAGGTTTAACTACAGGGAGGTTTACTGCCAAACCCTAGGTATGAAATCTGACAAAAGTCACTTCTCCTGTCCTTGAAGTAAAGTTGCCTGAAGAACTCAAGTTCCAAGTCTTAGCTAAGTCATATGAAGTTTCCCAGTCTGGTCTTAACAGCAACTAAATACATGTGTTCCTGTCTATTTACTGATGTCCAAAAATGGATCCTAACTAGTTTCATTGCCAAATCAATTATAGTTTATAGAGCAGGAATCTCTCTAAGTGGTGTATTGGACTTAGAGAGATGCATTGGATACATATACCATATTTTTCGGCGTATAAGACACACCTTTTTTCCTCAAAAAAGAGGCTGAAAATCTGGGTAAGCCTTATACACTGAATACAGCATTTGTTTGCCTCCTGAAACCCTGCCCCTTCACCAAAATGGCTGTGCATAGTTTGTAGAAGGCTTTCTGAGAGCTCCTGGGGGCCGGGGAAGGTAGAAATGAGCAAAAATGCCTCCCCAGCTCCCAGGAGCACTCTATAAGCTTCCTAATGCCCTTTTTTTTTTTTGACAAAAAACGGGCCCGTTTTCATGAAAAACGGGCCATATTTTGATCATTTCCCCCAACCCCATCCCAGGAACACTCTACAAGCCTCCTAAGGGCTATTCGTGACTTTAAAAAAAAAAACAGGCCCGTTTTCACAAAAAAATGGACCATTTTTGGAGGTTTGCAGCATGCAAAAACTTTTTTTTTTTATTTGCCTCTTCAAAACCTTGGCGCGTCTTATACTCCAGTATATTTTATACTCTGAAAAATATGGTAATTTCCAGTCTTGCAGATTGTTATATGAGAAAATTGTAGTCCAACATAACTGGAGGATGCCATTTTGGCAAAAGTTAGCAAATAGAGAAATGAAGGTAAACTTTAAGTACTAGGAGTAAGGCCCCAAGTAAAGCATTGTTTTGCAGGAAAATTTAACAGCTGAACATGGACTATAGAAAACTGTCTTGTCAATTTTAGGCAATCTCTCTGTTTAGAGTTTTGTTTATATGAGGAATTATTACAAATCTCATGAAAGCAGCTGTTCAGTGTGTTCTGTGAAAGTGATATGAGAAGCATTAAACTCTTGTTGAGACGATACTGTGTATGTTTCCCATTGTTTTTGCAGTGCAGTTGCCTTCTGGGGAGAAGGCAACATTCTTGGATACTCCTGGCCATGCTGCCTTTTCAGCCATGAGGGCAAGAGGTACACATATCACTGATATTGTTGTACTGGTAATAGCTGCCGATGATGGTGTGATGGCACAAACTGTGGAATCCATTCAACATGCTAAAAATGCTAATGGTATTAATGGATTTTGTTCTCTTTTGGGTAGTTGAGGGAGGAGATATGTACTACTACTGACATTACTGTTACTGAATATCTTATTATTTGAAGATTTGTTAGTCATCTGGAACAAATTATATATATGTATCTGAAACTTGTCCCTCCACATTTTTTTCTCGCTCAGTTCCAATCATTGTTGCCATCAATAAGTGTGATAAACCTGACGCTGATCCTGAAAAAGTAAAGAAACAACTGTTGGCTCATGATATTGTTTGTGAAGACTATGGAGGAGATGTTCAGGCTGTTCCTATCTCTGCATTAAAGGTAATGCAAATCAGTTTCAGTGCCATCCCTAAGGTAAATCTGTATCACATTGTTTATTAGCAGTAAAAATTTGAATCGTCAAGAGTCACATGATACATCGGGTAGAGTTTTTAGGAGAGGAAAACCTTCATTTGACCGTCTACTCTAGAACCCAGCTGTTTGGAGAAAAGCAGTTCTTTCTCAGCACTGAACAGGAAATTTCCTAATGAGGGAAAAATACTTTATTTTGCTATTCAATCCTAGGTATTGATCTTGGAAAATATGATAAAAAAGGCTATAGTCAGCCTCCAGCATATCCTAGATTTTAAGACAATAGATTTTCAGTAAATCTTCTATGCATACTGATTTACTTACAATGATTGTTAAGTCCTACCTTTTCTTAATTACTTTTGACTTTTTTGACTTAGAGCCATAACTTGATGAACTTAAAAGAGGCAATTGTAACTCTTGCTGAGGTAATGGAACTGAAGGCAGATAGCACAGGCCTCATGGAAGGTATTGTAATAGAGTCTCGCACAGATAAAGGAAAAGGGTGAGCATGCATCTTTTCATTCCATTTCATCTTTGGCTGGGAGTTGCTCTAAAATTTTCAACAGTGCAATTAAATAACAATGCATAATAAATTAAAATTTAAAAACAGTCCTTTTGTAAATTAAATTAAACTTTCTTGATTTAAAACGTGATTTTACAGAAAACCTGTTTGCTTGGACTTAATGTCTCCTATAGCACTCCTATAATGTGCTAGTGTGAAATTGAAAAGCTATTGTGATCAATTCCCATAGATTCCATCTAAATCACACACAATGGGCTCCCTGCTACACCTGAATTGGGGGTGGGGGGATATTAATGAAAAAAATGAATGGCAAGACAGCCTGCAGCAAAGCAAAGCAGTACCAGATTTCAACATCATATTAATTGCCAAGAAAGTCTTTAAGCCCTACTTGAGCTTCCTAAGCATTCATAGATAATTGAGCATTCTGATTATTGGGTGAAAAATATATTATTCTGATCTGTTTTATAGATTTGTGTCAAAGTAGATTTTAAACTGAAAAAATTATATAGCTATATTGACATAATAAAGCTCAAGAGGCTTAGACATTAAAACATACCATTAATTGTGAATATCAAATAAAATGTCATTTTTCTTTTTACTTGCCTTCCACCTGACCCCAGTCCAGTAACCACGGCCATTATCCAAAGAGGCAGTCTGAGAAAGGGCTGCATTTTGGTTGCTGGAGAAACCTGGGCCAAAGTGAGAGTTTTATTTGATGAGAATGGCAAAATCATGGAAAATGCTTCCCCTGGTTTGCCCACGGAGATTGTGGGGTGGAAGGAGGTCCCTGCAGCAGGGGACGAAATCCTTGAAGTTGAATCTGAGGTAAGTACATTTCTTGCTTTAGTATCCAGGTGTAATGTTCCTAAAATTGTCTTTATTCCATGCTTATCCAAAGTTTCATCCAAGATGCACCAGAAAATGTTCTGCAGAAATAAAAAACCAGGGAAAAGGAACATGTTTTCTTTTCAAAATCTGGAAATAGTTTAATTCAAGCAATAAAGGCTTTTACTCCATGTGGCACTTGCTCAAAACTGGACCAATATTTTAATACCTCTGTTGATGATTCATTTAGTTGAGAAATATAATATTGATTCAGTTTTAATTTCTGATTATTCACCAGTAGTTAATGTATTCGTTTGGATAAAAAAAAATCTGTAATAGGGGAAAATGACATTTTAATGTTATTGTTATTGGAAGGTGCTCACTTTTTTGAGTTACAATAAAGGTACCAATATGGTGTTTTTTCACTGTTGTATAGTACGCTAATCAGTCATTTTCTATGAGACGGGTGGTAATATAAATTTGATAAATATTTTTTTTCAAATTAAAAGAGGGTCAACTAATTTGGGTATAGTCTATGTTTAAAGCTTTTTGGGGATAAGCTAATAACATGCCTCTATGGAAAAAGATGCTTATATTACAATATAGAAATTTAATATGTATAAATTATAGCATAGAAATTCTAAGTTCTATATACAGTATAGAATTATATAAAAGTCATTTTCCCAGTGCCGAAGATGGTGGTCAGACACATTTAGATATTATTCAAATGGTATAAAATGAAAATGTAATTTTATGATTTTATGAGAATTTGATATCTTGGAGTACAGGCAGACCCTGCTTATTGACTGCCTTGTTCAGTAATTGTTTGAAGTTACCACAGTGCTGAAAAAACAATTTTATGATCAATGCCTACTTTTGTGAGCTTTGAAACATCACTCAGTCATGTGATCACTGAGAGCCGAGGTGGCGCAGTGATTAGGGTGTAGTACTACAGGCCACTTCAGCTGACTGTTATCTGCAGTTCAGCGGTTCTAATCTCACCGGCTCAAGGTTGACTCAGCCTTCCATCCTTCCGAGGTGGGTGAAATGAGGACCCAGACTGTGGGGGCGATATGCTGACTCTGTAAACCTCTTAGAGAGGGCTGAAAGCCCTATGAAGCGGTATATAAGTCTAACTGCTATTGCTATTGCTATTAAGAGTGGTGGTGCAGTGGTAAGAGTGCAGTACTGCAGGCTACTTCTGCTGATCACCAGGCTCAAAGTTGACTCAGCCTTCCATCCTTTCAAGATCTGTAAAATGAGGACCCAGATTGTTGGAGGCAATATGCTGACTCTTTAAACCATTTACAGAGGGCTGTAAAGCATGTGAAGCGGTATATAAGTCTTTGGAACGATCTCCCCGTGGAGATTCGTACCCTCACGTCCAGACCTTCTGCACAGCCCTTAAGATCTGGCTATCCCGTCAGGCCTGGGGATAAGATTCTAATCCGCCCCACCCGAATGTTGAATGAATGTTGTGTTTTACTGCTTTATTTTATTTATTCACATATTTTATGTTCTGTCTTGCATTCCTTCCCACGAATTGTAAGCCGCCCTGAGTCCCCTCAGGGAAAAGGGCGGCCTATAAATGACAAATAAAACTAAAAAAAAAAAAAACTAAACTAAGTGCTATCGCTATTATAATTGGTATCGGTGGTTGTGTGCTTCACTTGATTTTTGCTCCCCTTGTAGAGCAGAGAGATTGTAGAGCAAGGAATTACAACCGAGTAAGCAATCACACAATGGGAATACACATTGAAAGGAATGTGGTGGCATCAGCATCCCTGAGCATGTTCAGGGTTGGGAGCCATGAGCACACTATGCAACAGCAATGATAGGAGCCAAGCTATGTTGGCAAATTAACTGGTTAATTACTTTTGTTCTGCCAAGCAAAGGGCACATGAAGTTGTTGAATGGAGGAACTATGTGAAACAGCAGGAAAAGATAAATAAAGATCAAAAAATGATAGAAGAAAAGCAAAGGGCTCATCAGGAAGACTACAAGAAGAAGCGAGAGGGCCTCATGAACATGAGCTGGAGACAGAGAGTATATTTAATAAAGAAGAGCCAAAAGGAGTCCATGACTAGGCAATCTGAAAAAATTACTCAGAATGACAAAAACAAGTTGCCTCTCCTTATCAAAGGTATACTTATTTTTCTACTGCTTATTTATCTTTGTGCTCAGCTCTACACTTGTTTGAGTTTTTAAACTAAGCCCCAGCATCCATCTAGGCCCACTGAAGGAGTCCAGACTACGGACTTTCAATCACAAATTTAACACATTAAAAGCAGCTCCTTAGAAATATTTGTATAATTGGATCAGAATTAGATGCCTTTGTTGCTGAATCCCCCCCCCCACTGAATTTATAAAATTTATTTTTTATCTTCTTGTATTAATTTTATTGTTTTTATGTGAGGTTTTATATTCTGTAAGCCGCCTTGAGTCGCCATGTGCAAATAGGCAGCAATATAAATTGCCTAATTTTTTAAAAAAAATAAGCACACATTCCCAATACAATAATATAAAGTTCCTGAGTTATGTGACTTGCTTGAGTATGATTTTTCTTCTTTCCACTGAAATTAACTAGGTTTCTTGTTTCACCAAGGTGATGTGGATGGCTCTGTAGAAACCATTTTGAATATTCTGAAAACCTATGATGCTGATGAAGAATGTATATTAGATGTGATTCATTGTGGAATTGGGGATATTAGTGAAAATGACATAAATCTAGCAGAATCATTTAAAGGTAACCAGTTGTGATCTGAGGTTATCTATTTGTTGGACTAATTAGAATTAATGGCTTGTTCTTTAGTTTAATTACGTAAATTAGGTAGTTAGTCATAAATGCATAGAGTGGCTTGCAGTTGCTATGTGCACTTTCCTACTCCACCCCTTAAAGTTTGGTGTCACTTTGATTGCAGTTACATATACCTCTGACAACTTATAGGGTGGTAAACAAGGCTCCTTTTCAGGAAACTGAAATAATGCTCCATGTCAATTTCTGAGCGTAGCATAAGCTATTCATATACTACCAGTGTTCATATACAATTTTCATCTGTACAGTTCTGTGATGTGGAAAAAAGAGATTCAGATCTTCCAACAGTGCATATAGCACTTCTCTAATTAAGGCAAATGATTTTGTCAGTGTTTGTCTTCTTCCTCACTTTCCTTCCACTTATCCCAACATTCTAGACTTCTCCAGAGAGTTAAGTCTTGTGTAATTTGTCCGTCAGATAATTTGAACTTACTGTATGTTTCGGAGTATAAGACGCACATTTTTCCCTCAAAAAAGAAGGTGAAAATCTGTCTTATACACTGAATACAGCATTTTTTGCCACCCGAAACCCCACCCTTTTCACCAAAATGGCCACCCATATCTTTTAGGAGGCTTTCAGAGTGCTCCTGGGGCTGGGGAGGGTGGAAATGAGCGATAAACGGGCCATTTTTTGCTCAATTTCCCCCCCACAGCCCCCTGCAGCACTCTACAAGTGTCCTAAAGACTATTCATACCCTTATTTTGAAGAGAAAAAAACGGGAGGTTTGTAGAGTGCAAACTTTTTAAAAATTTGCCTCTTAAAAACCTTGGTGCGTTTTATATTCCAGTGTGTCTTATACTCCAAAAAATACAGTAATTATTTGTTCCTCTAGTGAGAACGTTGGGTTGTTTTATATTGATTTGTTCTTTTTCTTGGCCATCCATAATATTTTCAGAATCCTTCTCCAATACCCAAGTTTAAAAATATCAGTACTCTGTCCTGTTTCCTCAAAGTCCAATTTTCAGTGCCATAGGGACTTCCACAGTTTACATGATTCTGACCTTTATAGGTATAGAAACGTCCCAGTGTCTGAATATTTTTTCAAAGGCCTTTGTGGTTACAGTACCAAGTGCTAATTGAAGCATATTTCTTAACTGTGATCGATCACAAAAGGCACAAAAGGCAAAAACTATCACAAAAGGCAAAAACTATCAGTTATTTCAATAAGTTCATTGTCATTTGTAAAGCTGCTTGCTATAACTGCTGTCATTAGTTTGGCCTTGTAGTTAATCTAGTCCCATTTTTACTGTCTGCTTAACTTTAATTACTAGAATTTCCAATGCTTTTGAGTTTTCAATTATCAGACTAGTATTATCAGCATAGCAGAAATGATTTTATTTATTCCTCTATCTTTAAACTGAACTCATCTTCCAATTCAGCTTCTCCCCTCTCTCTACAGGTAGTCCTCAAGTTATAACAGTTCACTTAGCAATGGTTCAAAGTTACAACACCCCACACCACCCCCAAAAGAGTACTTACAACATAGTCCTGAAGTTATGAATGTTGCAGCACCATAGCGGTCGATCACCCTTATGACCGACAGACCGCAGACTGCAACATTCCACACGCCTATTTCCATCCCTCACAGGGACCTAACAGGGGCTGGCCCTGCTACACTAGCCCATCAGCTCCTCCCCACCCCATTACTGATCGTTCGCTCATTTACCTTTCAAGGATCCAGAGTTCTAGAACAGGCTGACTGCTCCTTCTCTCTCTTCAAATGAGCCATCTCCTCTCCAGCTTCTCTGCTCCAAGATTTGCATGGCAGTGCAAAAGCAGAATTGTGAGAACAGAGGCAAAACCGGATGAGTGCGCCCTGCTCAGCTTGACTGACTCACCGAGGCTGCCTGCACAGGACACTCAATTCGCTTTTGGAGGACCAGGCAGCCTCGGTGAGCCTGAAGGACTGAGATTGTGCACCAAGGGCTTCTGTTGTCCGCACCAAAAGCTTTTGCAAAGGGACAGAAGGCTTCAAACAGTGGATCGCTCTCCCTAAGCCTTCCATCCCTTTGCAAAAGCTTTTTCCATGGAGAAGAGAAACCTTTGGGGAGCAAGACTCACCGAGGCTGCCCAGTGCTTCAAAAGCAGATCTTGCCCAGGCAGCCTCAGTGAATCAGCCAAGCTGAGAAGGCTTTTGGAGCACTGGGAGCAGACGAAGAAACCACGGCAAAGAGGGTGGAGAGGAGATAGCTCGCTTGATCATTGAGATCTTTAAAAGATAAATATCCCAGCGAGGCAGGATGGGGGGAGGGGAATATCTCAGTGGGTCGGGAGAGGCCTTGGATGGTTGGAAGCACTAGGCCCCTCATAATCTTCCCTACCCTGAGATACCTCATGTGCACTTAATGACCTGTGAATTCAATTAGTGAATGCATTGGGTAAAGCAGGGAAGGATTACGTTCATTTAATATGATCCTATTAATGAATCCTTAGGTTATGAATGTTCAGGCAGGTTCTATTACATTTGTAACTTGAGGATTACCTGTATACATATTCCATATTTAGTTTGAATAAAGGGAAAATATATGTCTCTCTCTTTTGCCTGTTTTGCTAAATTCTGTCTATACTCTGGCTTTCTGACCTATACTATGTATAGATATTGCATGAGAATAATGAGATGTTCTGGGTTCCTATTTTCCTATACCTTGACATCCCACATTCCATACCTTGATAATCAAAGAAATCAAAGTCCCTGAGTCTTTGATCAGTCCCTGATCTGAGTCAAGGAAACACATACTTTTTTGTTCATATTCTTTGGCTTTCTTAATTATCCAGTGTTCATTAGCAGTAGCCTTGACTGTTTCTAAAGCCAGTTTCAATTTCTAGCATCTTCCACTTAGGGCTCTAATCTTCATTGGATAATGAATTTATGTATTTCCCTAATTGTCTAAAAAGCCAGAACTATTGCAGTTTTTGTTCATTTCCATGAGATTTGGCTGGTTACATATTAATCAGAAATAATGGTTTGAAATAAACCAGTCAGTTATAAATAATATCTATTTCAAACTTTGGGATTTGTTGAATTTTACAAAGTTTATTTTAACCATGAGCTCCTCTATCTGTTATTTTCCTAAATGCCAAGAAATTGGGAATGTAGAAATCCAATTTTTCAGTGGGAATGTACAGGCTTACTGCTCAAGTTCAGTTTTTGCTGCTTTGAGGCTTACTAGGGTGAATGAATTGTATTGCAAATGCTTCCTTTTTCAACAAAATAGTTAAGCATATTGGCATTACAATGAAAAATGTTTGAACCAAGTCTCAGAATACAGCGCTTAGTAAAACCCCAGAACCTGTCAGTAAATCTTTCAGAAACCAAAGCATATTTCCCACTCTTAAAAAAATAAAGAGTAAATTGTGTGAAATTGTGTTTGAAAGAATATACAAACAGGCATAAGGGAATTTGCTTGGATTTTAAAGTTTAGCTTTGGGAGGTAAAAACCTTTCTTGCACCTTTGTCTTGGGATACTTGGTACAGTCTGAAGTTAATAAAAGAGAAGCGACAGTACTTCATATTTGTTCTCTTATTCATTTGGCAGGTATCATATATGGGTTCAATGTAAAAGCACATAAATCTATTCAGCAAATGGCTGCTAAAAAGAAAGTAAAGGTGAAACTACACAACATCATCTACAGGCTTGTGGAGGATTTACAGGAAGAGCTCAGCAACACTTTGCCTCTTGGTGTAGAGGAGGATGTGCTAGGTATCTCAAATATTCTAGAAGTGAGCTTCTGGAAGTTATCTAGTCGAAAACTGGGAGGGGACAGAAATCTGGGCTTCATAACTTTGCTGTGCTAGTAGCTTCCAGTTTTCTCTGCTACTTATAGAATTCAAACTTAGGCTGCCTTCTAGGACCAAGACAGTTATTACAGGTTGAATACCGTTAGAGTATTTGTAAAAGAAATGAAAAATCATTAAAGTTATTCTTGATTACTGCACTAGAGGAAATAAATCACAGAAAGTTGCAGATGTTTGTTTTTAAAAATTCAATTGTTCTAGACGCGGGATGGCAAACCTATGGCATGTGGAGCCATTTGTCAGGACACGCGAGGCGTTGCCCTGTCAACTGGTCAGTGCATGCGCAAGCTGGAAAGCTGGGTTCAGCCTTTTTTAAAGCCATTTTTCGCCCTCCCCAGACTCGAGGCTCTATAGGAGCCTGGGGAGGGCGAAAACAGCCTCCCCCGACCCCACTGGAGGTTTTAGGAGCTTCCCTGAAGCCTCTGGAGGGCAAAAAACAACCCTACGAGCAAACCGAAAGTCACTTCTGGGTTGCAAGTAGGGCTGATTTTAGCCTCCGAAGCTTTCAGGAGCTCTCAGGAGGCTTCCCTGAAGGCTCCGGAGGACAAAAAATGACCCTACGAGCAAACCAGACTTCCCTGAAGCCTCCGGAGGGCCTCTGGGGGGCAGGGGAGGTTGTTTTCGCCCTCCCCAGGCTCCTATAAAGCATGTGGACCCTGGGGAGGGCGTAAAAAACTTGCAAATGGGTTGCACCTGTCATGCACGCATGCGCACTGGGGGGGGTAATGCATTGCATTATGGGTGCAGCACACTCGCACATAACCCCCCCCCTGCGCTCGCCCCGCTTACGGCACGCGAACCAAAAAATGTTCACCATCGCTGTTCTAGACCTACTGTAGAGAAAATAATAATCAAGCTGCATTTAAATAGTAGAAATCTAGCAGCAGGTAACTTTCTATGTTCCCAGACTTTAAAAATTCTAGATGTTTTCCTTGAAAAACAAAAACAAATTGTGCAAACCAATAAAATTTTTGCTGTGATATAACTAAAAAGTAAAATTGAGGGTGATAGCAGATTTTAATACGAGAGGCCAGGTGTTATGTTTATGTGGATTTTGAGAGTCTACATTTTAACCATGATTCTCATGTTCCCCTTATTTCAGGAGAAGCTGCGGTTTTAGCCATCTTTGAGGTTGATGTAGGAAAACATAAAGTTCCAGTGGCTGGTTGCAGAGTACAGAGAGGACAACTAAACAAAAAAATGAACTTTAAATTAATTCGCAACGGAGAATGTATTTGGACAGGTGGGTAAAGTGCTTATCTAACTTGGTAGCTATGTTTGTTACTCAGATTCTACTTTGTTGAAATGTTTTTTTAATTTGTTCAAGATATTGCTTCTGATTAATAGTTCTGCTACATTTCCTTCTTCATACACTTTTGTCTGGATTATTTAAGTATAAATGTGTGCAGTTCTATATGAATGCTATGTATACAGCCACCCTTATAGCATTCCCAATTCACTGACATTTCTAATACATTATGCAGTTACTTTTATTGAAATTTTACTCATTTGTTTGATTTAGGATGCTTATCGTCTTTGAAGCACCATAAGGAAGATATTGCTATCGCAAAGACTGGCATGGATTGTGGACTTAGTTTGAATGATAATGTGAAGTTTGAAGTTGGAGATGAAATTGTTTGCTTCAATCCAAGGGAAGTAAAGCAGATAATTTCTTGGAACCCAGGATTTTAAATCAGGCTGCCTAAAATATGGAAGGCAAGAAAACTTGAATCTTCATTCAGTATCGACTATAGAATCTTTGGGATAGTGTCCTGCACTGTACAATTAGCAGGAACATATTTCAGACTTCTACTGCTTCTAATGTAAAATTGGTTACAGAAAAAAGAAGTCTGCCCTTTCAGGAAGTGTATATTTATGTTATGAAATAACATTTTAAAACCTAAGTGTTCACTACAAGGAAAACCAAAACATTACATTTGTTAACTGCAATTGTTGTTTTTCAGTCATTATCAAAAAATTTAGATGGTGTTTTGCTAACAAAATTCTACATTTTCTACAGTACCCAAACCAACAGCTATTGGATCAAACACCTTTGTATGTTTAAATTACAGAACCTACCACACCCAAACCATTATTGAATGATTTGAAACATGGGGATGACTGTCATCTCTCACACTATAATGTTCAACATAGTTTTCCAACTTTGAGCTGCAAAGTTGCGGCCAATCAGCCTTACATTAAAATTAGAATTGTAGGTAATTTTTAGGTAATTGTGCTTTTTTATAACATTGCATGGAAATGAATAAGGAAAAATGCAGATAATCAGTTAGGGTGCAGTAACACTATAAACAAATAATAATACAGTATTTCTGGAATATAATTTCGCAGCCATGGAATAAAAGTATGTTAAAAATGCTTGGAGGAATGGCAGAAGGGTATTAATAAATTTGTTTGGGTAGGGAAGAAACCGAGAATAAAACTTAAAATAATGCAAGACGCACGTGAAAGAGGTGGTTTGAAAATGCCCAACTTAAAATTATACTATGAAGCAGCAGTTTTATCAACAATTAGTGATTGGATTAACTTAACAGAGGATAGAATATTGAACATTGAGGGATATGATTTGGTATATGGTTGGCATGCTTATTTAATATATGATAAGGTGGATAAGATTTTTAAAAGCCATATTTTAAGGAATGTTCTATTGCATGTCTGGAAAAAATATCAATATAAATTAAATGATGATACCTATGTGGGCAGTACCCAGACATGCAATAGAGAATGTAAGCATAGAACCAAAATAGGATGTAACTACATACAGAGCTGCTCAATACAGAAAGAGGTGTACTACAGTTAAAGCCTATGAATGTACTAAAAGAGGAAAAGGTAATTCAAACCTGGTTTCAGTATGGACAGCTACAGGCTAGATGGAAAAAAGACCAGAAAATTGGTATTATGCAAAATGAGGATAATTTAGTAAAACAAATTAGAGACCAGAGTCAAATGCATATAAAAAGNCGGCCATGCACGTGGCAAGAAAACACCGCGCAGCCGTTTTTAACTGCGTGCAGTGATTTCTGTCACAGGCTCCGGAAGCTGAGGGGAATATCTGCTGCCGCCTCCTTCTCCTCCAACAGCACTTCCGGATTTGCCACCAACGCTGCAGCCGAGGTGAAGCCTCCAAAGCTCCCGCAGGCGCGCCCACCCATGGCAGCGACGGCGGTGCCTCCCCCTCTGCTTGGAGCACCTCAGCTGGGCTCTGGATTACCCCTGCCGCCGCCTCCACCTCTGCCGTGCTTTTGAGAAGCCATGAGGCCTTTTTTCCTGCTCCCGCCCCCTCCGCCACCTTCCTACTAGCTCCCACGGCCAAATGGCTCCTCAAAAGCACAGCGGAGGAGGAAGGGATAACACGGGGGCCAGCTCAGGTGCTCACTGAAAAAAAATTAGAGGGAACATTGATCACAATTGTTCTACTTCCATTTTCAGCTGTTTGTGTTTTGTGACTTTCTCCAGTTTGTTCTCTTCTACTCTGCTGTCACCAGGTATTGCATGTCCACTGTCCAGACTTTTATCAACAATTAATTGTTTTGTTTGGGGTGTTGTGTTGCAGATGTTTGTGTGTTGAATTCTACAGCATTTTTGCTTTATTCTTCATTTTCTAATACTTACAACTATTGCTGATTTCTCAATTCTGGCTTTATATGCTTATTAAAATAGGGTCAAATTAAAAAGGTCTATTAGATTATGTTTTAGTATTTCACTTTAAAAGCACTTCTTGTAGCACGTGTTGTCCTTGGCATTATAATTTCAATTCTACCAAAGAGTTATCATGTTTAAAATTCAATTTAAACCATACTTATATTCTTATATTTGGAATTATCAAGATATTTTTTAATGAAAATGACCAACAATACTTTAACAAGCATCATTACATACCACATAGAGAAGTTGAGGAAAAGGAAAAGCAATTAAACATGGAAACAAGTAAATATTACAGAAATAGTATATTCCTAGTATTTAGTTTTGTAATTTAAAATGCTAATATTTATTTTTGCAATTTAAAATGCTATTGTAATTTATTTTTGTAATTTAAAACCAAGTTTTCTTCAGGGTGGCTTAGTTTCAGCATCAATATCATCAAGTATATAAAAAATTCCAGGCAAAAAGCAGGTAAAGCTTTTTCTAGCAATACACAAGGAACTTAAGTTCATTTGATTAAATTAATTTGCACTACACAAAAGAAACTGTTTGCTGTCATGTCTTCCTGCGGCTTGGCAACTATGGGACACGAGATGTTAAAAGGCCTTTGCCGTAACTTCTTACTCTGACCCACTTTATCTACATACCAAAAACAGCGCTAAATAATATCTGCAATTGCTTCGGCACTTTTGTGCCTGAAAAAAACCGGAGCAGAAATTTGAAAACTGCATTCTTCTGGATTTCCTGCATAGACCTCCAATTTTCTAATCAATGCCATCTTTGTCTTAATCCTTTAAACCTCTACAAAAAGTTTGGTCTTCCTATTAATCTTCTTTGTAGCATTATTCCACTGACGAAAATACCAATTCTCTCCGCTCATTCCCTCGCTTCAACGCCCACGAGGAAGAGCCTTCTAACGTCCAGTGTGCAGCGAGGCACCATTTTTACTCAATCTAACAATCCCGCGACAAAATGCCCACCCCCGCCCCAAAGGAAAGGAACAGAAAGGTAGAAAAGGGAGGGGAACCGGTTTGAAAAGACCACCGGTTACAGGTCCGCAGACTAACCAGCCTGCCTTCCTCACCTCGAGGGTGATGGTTTTCCCCGTCAGGGTCTTCACGAAGATCTGCATGGCGGCGGTAGAGCGCCTAGTGATGGTTGTACCTAGAAGGGGAAAAACATCGAAAAATCAAGGCTTCGTTCAGCGCCAAACCTGAGAGAGAGAGAAAAATCGAAGTAGGCCAAGCGCTCACCCACCACCCGCTCTCAGAATGGCCGACGCCGAAAAGAGAGGCCACTCCTCTGCGCACGGGGTTTCCGAGCCTTGAAAGAAGGAAGGAGGGCCATGCGTCGCCACACGGCAGGACTACAATCTCCAAGACTCATTTCCTTTCGAAATTATTGAAAAGAATGATGGGAGTAGTAGTTTTGGTTATATGGCGGCGCCTAGTGGAGAAAGTCTACGACCGGATAAGTCGCGGAAGAATCATCAGGATTCTAAATCGAATTTTAAGTAGACCGGAAGTGGGAGAAAGGAAGTGTGGAGGAAAACTACACTTCCCACCAGTCCCTCGAAGACCGCTAGTTTTCCCCCCTTCCTGATTAACAGTTCCGCCTTGTTGTTACCAACAGTTGGCTACTGGGTGAGTTTAGTTGGATGAAAGAGGTGGGTCTTCCTTGGCAGCATCGGAAGAGAAACGAATAGGCCGCTTTCTTAACGGCCTCTCGTCAGAGCGAGAAAAAGAGTTGATGGCCTCGCGTTGAGATAGTTCTCTTAGAGCCCACAGGCTGCTAGGAAAAGGCAGATGGAGCCCTTAATTGTAATGCTGAAGCTCTACAGACATAAGTATTATTAGTCAAAAATGGTGTCAAGGTGATGTTTCCAAAGGGTCTAAAATGTTAAACGATGTATAATGAGTAAAATAGATACATTGATTCCAGACTATCCTCTAAAAGTTTTTTTTTAATATTTCCATTTAGTTTTTAAACAACAGAATAAATATTATTACGAATAAAACAAATATATTGAATTATTAAAACAATATATTTTTTTAAAAAACTCAATACTGTTCACATTACCAATAACAAAAATTACCAATAATATAGTGTAAGTGAAACTTTCACTTTTCCACATATCAAAATACGGTATATTCATTCTTACAATTCATTTTTTAAAGAAGAAAATCGTTTGAATTGTTTAAACTTATAATATGGTTATGTGTTTTCCCATCAATACAATGCCAGTCCAAAGACTAAGAATTGACCGCAAAATATTTGGTGGTGATTTTGTATCTGTTTGCTTACGTGACCTTTGTGTACTACTGGTAAATGCCAAGTCTCTCTGAAATGGCACTGCATCCAGTCATGAGTCAGTGGTGGATGAATACACAGATCTGGTGTGCATTACTGAGACTTAGCTAGGCAAAGGTCATGATGCCATTATCAAAAATCTGCCCAGCTTGATTTACTGTATGGTCCTTAGTTTACCTGGGAATAAGCCATGTAGAATGCATCCTTAAATTGATGTGTTAGATGGCATTTTCATTTCTTTTATTGATGTGGCATTATTTTCAGGTTCTGACTGAAGCATGTCTTCTGATCAAAGTAAGGACCTGATACCTTAGTTGCTATCGGCAACAGAAATTTAGATGTCTTCTGCACCATGAAATCAGCCAGTGTTGGAGCAACTAAACATTCAGTACTTCCTCCCATCATCCCAGAGACTGAGAAAGAATTTCTGGAGAGCATTCAGAATTATATCATTTCAGAAATTGAAAACGTGGGCTGTACTGAGCAAGGACCAGCAGAGGATTATTACATAATATACAGAAATGTGTTTGAAATGGTAACTAAACTCTTTTAAAGATATTCCAATTTTCATGATCAGTGAATGCGATCTTTATGGCTTTGGTATATTGTCTGACTTCTGCTGAAATCAGTACAATAATAATATCTAACATGAACTAGTGAGGCAACTTCATTTCTTATGACACTGAATCCTCGCAGGCTGTTAATAGTAAGGCTGATTGATGTTTTTCAGTTGTAGAATGTTCTTAATGTTTTTTTTTTATTGTGTACCACCCACAATCACATTTTGTTAAATGATCAGCTATATAAATATAAATAAAATTGTTTAATAATAATAATTGATTAAATCATAATAACAATAACGTTGATGTAAGATGACCAATTTGAGGTGAGAGGTTACAGAATTCACTCAGCACATGAATTTACAGCCTTCTATCTCACTCTGAGTGATCTTTTCTCTAAGTATGGCAGCCTCAGAGACCACCAGGTGTAATATGGGTAGTAGACCACAATACCAGCATGTTACTCTGAGAAACAAGTCCTCAAGCAAGGCATCTGAATTTGCTGGCTATTCTACACAGCCTAATATCTTAGTTTGATAAATATACTTATGAAAGAGGCTTTTGGCAAACTGGCCATTTTAAAGATTTTGTTTTTCCACTAATGCATGAGAAGAAGGGGGATTATATTATTTGTTTCCCCTAAACTATAAAAAAAGCCCATAAGGGTGGAAAAACAACAAGAATTAAATTATTTCAGATTTAGTCAGATCAGCTCTTAAGCTGGTACTACTTTTCTGGGTGTGTACATTATCTAGAGGTTCTTAACAGATTTAACAGAGTTGGACGGGATCTTGTAGGTCATCCAGTCCAACCCCACCCAAGCAGGACGCTGTTCTGCTGGACACTGTGGTGTGGCTCAAACAGGATCATAGGCAGTGGGGAAATGTAATTTTTTTTGCCACTGGTTCTCTTGGCGTGGCTTGGTGGGGGATGTCAGGTGACTGGGTGGGCATGGCCAACTTTTTTTAATTTTTAAAGCATTTTTTACTACATATTCATTCGAAAGGGTAGTAAAAAATGCTTTAAGAAGTGGAATGAAAAGGTTCAGCTGTGCCATGCAATCATGAGAACCTTTTTTTTCACTTTTTAAAGCATTTTTTTTACTACTGGTTTATGCGAATAGGTAGTAAAAAATGCTTTAAAAAGTGGGGAGGAAAGGTTCCTACGATCGCACGGCACAGCTGATTGTTATGGAACCTTCCCCCCCCCCTCAACTTTAAAGCATTTTTTCCTGCCGGTTTGGGTGAATAGACAGGAAAAAAATGCTTTAAAAAGTGAAAAAAAAGCTTCCGCGTGATCATCAAAGCTTTTTTTTTACTACAGGTTTACTGAACCAATGACAATCGTCCCTACTGGTTTGTGCGAATCGGTACCATTTCACCCCTGATCCTAGGCTGCATCCTTGTTGTACAGTATTTGCTATTTTGATCTCACTCACTTTGAGGAGCAGCCTAGAAAAGTGTGTCATCCCCCCTAAAGATAGAAAATAAATACTGTAGGCCGGGACACACACTCCTCTTTCTTCAATCTCTCACCTAAAACAAATCTTGCCCTGCCTTCTGGCAGTATTGATATGTTCTTGACATTCTGGTTATTCCATCCTCTTCTATGAGTTTTAAGATGTTTTGTGTGCTTTAAGATGAGGCAAAGTACTAATATAAGATAGTTTTGCTATGAACTTTTTTGAAACTTTGAATTTAGAAGTATGCATGCAGTTTTTGAAGAATAAAAGGAAATATTAATTGCATTAATTTCCTGCTGATGGACTTTCCAGAAGTATCTAATTACCAATAATGGGGAACAGGATAGTGTGTTAAAATTTTCTTTTGTTTGATTCAGAAAGAGTTTTTTTTAAACTTTCAGTAAAGTCAGTTCTTTTTGTTATATCACTATTTATTTATTGTATCACTATTAAACAATTATGACATTAACCAATTTCTGTGTTGTTAAAACAGATAATTGAGCATGTTAATGCATACAAAAGCATTTTGACCACAATCAAACAAGAATATGATGCTTTTATAGAAGTAATAAAAAAGGGCCAGCATGATGCATTTTATCTTCATGGAAAATTTAAAACGTTAGCCTGCGAATCTTCAACTTTAACGTATTATAAGAAAAGAATAACTCAGCTGGAAGAAAAGTAAGAACCTCTTTCACTCTTTTGCAGGGGTGGGATGTTCAAGGCACAATTTTGAACTAGTCTCTCATAAAGTGATGTGATTTGAAATTGTTAATACTACATGATGTTTTTTTCATTTTAAAAAAAAGTGTTTGTGTCTTATGCCTTTGTGGATGCTTACAGAATGAATATTCTCTTTAACGAAAGTTAGGTTTACGAAAAGAAAGGCAAATAAGCAAGAAATGCTATTTTTATATACCATAAATTCTGATTCTACCACAGATGACCAAGTAGAACTACATTGGAGTTTGCACGCTATCAGATAATGATAGCTAGCAAATTTAACATGAAAGGGACATATCTACAGCACATTAGTGTACCACAATATGCAGAATTATTCCATGGCACCTTTGGTTGGGTAAAGTTAAGTGTTATACTCCATTGAATGGTGATAATGGAAGAATCAGAGGTTGATTTGAGGGAAAACTGCAATAGTCTGAAAGATTGCAAATCAGGAGACTTCCTGTGGACATGGCCAATGGTTGACATGCCCAGAAAGGCTTCTTTCTCTGGATTGCCATTTTTTCCAATTTATTAACAGAAAAAAGAGGCATTCTTTTTATATGACTTTTCTGGTTTAGGGAAAGTTCTAGAATCATTCCACAGGATCCTCTGTACAGCAGTGCTGTGCCAGAAGCTTCAGGAACTGTGCTTCAGAGCAGCTGGTGAACCATTCAGCTGGGGGTTGGGGCAGGACTGCAATCACCTCATTGTTGGAAAAGCAGCCATTTTGGAATTTATTTTTCAAATTGACAATACGTCGTATCTTTCATTTCTTAATCAACATATGACAGTATTATCTGTACTCACTAAAAGAGGCTCTCTTCAGTCACAGCCTGTCACCCCTTTTTGAAGCTCCGCAGCATTTTTGAGACTTCTTTATTGTTAAATGACAAGGAAGAAGTTTGCTGGAGACAAGCTAAAATAAGGAAGCGAATTTTTAATTCTGATGGAGAAACATAGAGTAGAAAGCTGTTGTTTTATTTTATTATTTTTAAATAACCTGTAACCTGGATTGCTTTGTTGTGGGTGGCTGAAATTCCCTGATTTTTATGAATACTGATTGGCAATCAAGCAAGCAAACAATGAATATCCTTTGGCCACTAGAGGGAGCTAAGATGGCCAAATTTGAACATAATTTTAGGAAAGTTTTTTGAAAATTNTCCTCCTTTCTAACCTGATATCTTAACTACTATTTAAAGCTGACTCTTAAAAACTGTATAAATTATATATGTTAGGATTATTTATACGTACGTACGTACGTACGTACGTATGTATGTATGTATGTGTATATATACATATACATGATTATATATCACCTTGAGCTTTATGTTAAAAAAGGCAGGCTTAAAAAAATATTTTTTTCTGAGAATCTGCAGCTTATAACTGCCAACTTTTTCTCCTGAATTCAAGTTGCAACAGTGAAACTGATTTACCTTGTAGTATTTAAGGACGGCAAGTTTCACCTTCTTTCTCTTATGTTTATTCTTCTTAGGAGTGGTGTAAGACTTCTTCTTTCTTTTCTTTGCCCCACCACGAAGTCTCAGCACAAGATGAAGTGTTGACTCCTAAATTTTGGGATTTTTTTAAAAAAGAAAAGAAAATATTTTTAAAGATGAAAAACATCCAGATTTGAGCATTTCTGTGGTGCAGCAAAAAGCACAGAATTAAGACAAGGAAATCAGAAGATAGAAAACTATCTTGAGTCATGAAGCTTGGTCAAGTCATTCAGCTCACTTTGTAGCTATTCTGAAATCGTATGCTTGCCTTACCCTTCCTTTAAAAAACCCAGCATACTTGGAAAATCAGCATAACTGGTGCTTAAATGCTAATGCCAATAAAATAGGTAAAATTGAGACTTATGAAACCTTGTTTATTAAAATCCAAAGTAACTTTGAACCAAATGCAAAATCTGGCCCTTGCTTACTGCATTGTAAATCATGCACTGAGATAATTTAATAATTAAAGGAAAGTAATAAATGTTGTCTTCTGTTAAAACTTTGGACACATTATGAGAAGACTTGACTCTGGAAAATACTCTAATGCTGAAGAAGCTGGAAGGAAGAAGAGGATAAAGAGCAGTAAAATGGATGGACTTAAGTTTAAGTGATGATTGGTACACCATGGAAAACAAAGCATCAGATTAGGGACAGATTGTTATGGAGAAAATTAACTATCTGTTGGTTATAACTTGAAAATGAAGTGGTGGTTGGTGCGTAAGTTATTAAAACTCCTGGAAACCAGAAAAAATTGCCTACTTACTACAGATGCTGCAGAAAAAACAATAATTGTGATACATCATTATGCCTTTCAAAACTAATTCCTGCAAAGATAACCTTCTACTTGCTAAAATAAGATAAATTTATAACTTGTGGGTATAGCAATATTCAAGTCAGCAATACATACTGATGGCAAATGAACTCATCTAGAGCAAACTGTGCTGACCAGAAAAGGTATCTTTAATAGAATCAGGACCTATTCACATACAATATATAACTATTGCCACAAGAAGATGGAATGTTTGCCACTTGTCTATTGCATATTATGAAATTATTGTATTAACAGGTTTCAAACGTTAAAATACCTTTTGGATGTTATAATCAGACAGAGTACGTCCATCCTCCAATTGTTTGCCAGCAAAAATTAAACGCTGTTGGTCAGGAGGAATTCCTTGTTGGGAAAAAAGTAAAGTTTTTTGTTGTGTTTGTAAGCAATTATTCTCAATTCATTTATTTCACTGTTAATTCTATCTGCTTTGTGAAGAGCAGATACATTTCAAATACTATCAGGTTATAAAATATCACATTAAATGTATCAAATATCTCTTGAGAAATTTCTCAATAACTATAATGCTTTTGTTAATCTTAATTGCCCCTTTGAAATTTGAATCATACAAGTGCATTAAATGGACTTTTATGGAGTGCTTGATGTTCTCTAAACTTGGTTGTTTGCTTGAAGACAATTCATAAACCAACTAGGTAACATCATTACTGCTAGTGAGTGTGGAGTTTGTTCCCAGATAAGCAGGGATTAACACTAAACAAGCAGAAAAGCAACATCCTAATCAAGGATCTCACAAGGTTGTTGTGTACGTTCACCACCTTGAATTACCTTTAAAGTAAGCAAAGGCAGCATAAGTAATCTATAACCAAGGAGAAAACCACACTCCCAATACTGGCAGAGTAAGCTACTGAATCTAAACAGAGCTAACCCTGCATTTACTAGCACTGATGATGCTAACTACTTTGACACTGGTATGTCTGCAGGCAAACAACCAAGCTCAAGAGTGCATCAAGGACTTTACAGTACAACCCTGAGCTACGAACAGTATATTCTCTTCTAATGAGCCATTATATTATAAATCATTTGCTGGAACTTGAATTAGCAGAAGGCTCAACAGAATTTAGAATTACTTACAAGCGCTAAACAACTTGATACAAGTTTATTTACATAATTATATCGCACAAATTATTAAATTTCTGGATTAGGAGTGTCAAACTGGTCGTAACATGACATAGCATGGCTTATCCCCCCCCCCCTTTTGCTAAACTGGGCATGGGCAGCGTGTGACACATCTGGCCCCTGGGCCGTGAGTTTGACAGCCCTGCTCTGATAAAAGAAACATTTTTTTTATGATTGCCTTAAAATTCTTCTGGAATAAGACGTAATTAGCAACAGTCATACTAAACAATTTATAAAAGAAATACAATTATGCATTCAATATTTTCCAAGTCTAGTTTAAAAAATGTATCAAAATACACATTATTCTGCCAGTAGCACCCAGCTTCACATCTGCTTTGTACTACCCCACTGACATATGATTAAATAAACCATAGTAAATAATACATTTAGAAAAGTGAACACAATAGGATGTATTAAATAATACACAGAGCCAAATACTTTTATGACTTGCAATATCTTCACATGCATATTTTGTGAATAAATTTCTCAGGACTATTGAATATGCTGGTCAAATAACTTAAATGTTAATTTTATGTGCTATTGCTGTTTGCTAATAATTCCTTTTTACGAGTTATTTTTTAAACAAAAAAACCTTATATACACACACACACAAATTTAAAGTATTTAGCAAATGAAAAATATTAAAAGGTGATACTTCAAGCATTGTATTATCATATGCTAGTTTAAAACCATGATGTATTAAAGATTACAGCATGCACAATATTCACATGGGAAGAAAAATCAGCTTTCTGTTTTATGCATGTAAAGATCCCCCACTCTTTCAACACAAAGGAGCACTCCAGATTAAACATCACATATATCTGGAAGAAAATCCCATTCATCCGGTGATGGCTGGATCCCTAGACTGAGATCTGAATAAAAGCAGCCCTACTCTAATAATTACCTAAGCTGCATCTTTTCCTTTTTTCAAATGACAGAAAATAATTACTGTCAGATTTTAGGTACAGTACTGCCTTCCATAATTATCTTGGCTAGAATCCTCTTATATATGTGAAATCACCAAATTGTCCATCTGGCTAGTGGATGATGAGAGTTGAGTCTATTATGGCTGGAAAGCACCACTGTTAAAGAGTTGCTCAACAATATGCTTTTAATATACATTGGGGTGGTGTTGGTGTGTTGTACAAAGGGAGGAAAGAAAGGTGCTGAAGAGAAAGATCAGTGACTATGGAAAGGAGGGAAAGGTGCTGGGAAAATCAGGAAACAGGTGGATAAACGTGATATGCCAACTTAAACACTGGCGGTGATGGCTGAGAAACAAGGGAAAACTGGCTGGCAGGCAGGCAATCCAGTGAGATGCCATGCTGATAGCCCTTAAGGAAAGAGAACAATTTGCATCAGCTTTGCCCAATTTGCCTAAGGATAAGGCTTTTATTTGATCTAAAGCCAGATAACCAAAGTATTCTAGGTTTCTATTGAATCATGGCTAGTTTGAAACAATGAAGTAGAACTTTTGGAATGTACTGGTTTGTTCTGGGTTCAAAATAAAACATTTTTCCATTTCATGCACAGATCTATTATCGTAAAATACTGAATTTAGGATTGCAACATAAAAGTTTATCCAGGCTAATTTTACAAATATGAGTTTTAGTTATTGTTTCCATTTATTGTTTTCTACTTGTGATGTAAGCTGCCCAGAGTAACTTAGAACACAAGCCATCCCCAAATCTCAAATAAATTATAGTACACCCACCTTCTTTATCCTGGATCTTGGCTTTGACATTTTCTATAGTATCAGATGGTTCAACCTATTGTAAAAGTTTTAAATTGCACTTAAAGGCGTACAGTCAAACAAGCTATAGATACACAGTATACATATTATAGTTGGTTGCACAATCAGCCAGATATTGGCAGTTTTATCTATTAATTCCTTCCCAATGACCCGGGACAGTCAGATGTTTCATGGTGCTAAAAAGTATCATAATATATAAGCTGTTTCTAGGTATGTAAGCTGTTCCAAGTAAAATTGCCCTTTTGCAATTGACTGATAGCGATTTTGTCAATACTATGATGTTTGTCCATCCTGTTCAAAAAGGACCTTGACATCTAATTGAGGGAATGTCAAGACTTGCATGTGAATTGGATTAAAGTGAGGGAGAGGTGCGCAGTCAGCCTCACTCTCTCTTCATAGATTCCATCTTGTTCCATTAGCAGGACAAGCTGAGACAGTTGGAGATGGGCTGGGCACAGTGGTTGATCAGGGCGTCTATCATGTCTTGCCACGCTCTTAGCATACCACATCGCTTGCAGAGACCACCTTCATGACCATTGTCCTATTTTGTAGGTTTCATTCGCTCAATCTACCGGAATCTGTCTTCACATGCTTGGGATAGACAAGTCTCTATCTCACCGAAGATCAATGACCCAACAGCTATTCTCAACCTGGTTTGGCCAGCTTGTAGAAGCTGTTGCCCAGGTTGTGGCCACTACCCATGCTACAGCTACTAGGAGACACAGGTGAGAACTAAGTGACAAGTGGGGACCAAAGGTAGACAAGCTGCCCCAAAAGGACACGACATGCCAATGCTAATGTTCAAAAGGTACTGTATGTTTTGAAATTGCATTCAAAGTGCCTATTACTATAGTTACCATAGTTGCTGTCATCACAATCACTGTTCCCTCTAAGGTGCGCGGCCATGCACGTGGCAAGAAAACACCGCGCAGCCGTTTTTAACTGCGTGCAGTGATTTCTGTCACAGGCTCCGGAAGCTGAGGGGAATATCTGCTGCCGCCTCCTTCTCCTCCAACAGCANAAAAGAATGCTAAAAATGCAAGATACCCTGCCCCTTTTCCTAAGAATATGTACTATAGAACAGAATTCCCCAACTTTTCTTTTGGGAGGGGGGGAGGGGAGGTGCCTTTATGTCTCCATGCATGTATGCAAACAGGCCCTGCAATGTTGATAGCAAGAGTGGGGGTGCGTGTGCGCATACTGGCCAGTCACTCACATGAGCCAGTGGCCAACTCGCCACAGCATGGAGACCCCTGCCGTAGAAGATAAGCAATTTATGATAGTAGGTAAAAGAACAGAAATCTGCTAACACAACTTCTGCAAAAGGAACTAAAACTGCTATCAAAGCAGGCAAAAAAAATACCCTATGACAAAACAAAAGTAGCATTAAAAAACCATCTTTTGAAAAAGCTGTTCTAGTTCTATAATTTTTTTAAAAAAGTAATTGGAACTATAGTGTATTTAAATTCAAGTATGATTTTGTCTGAGCTACAGTTAGCAGGTAACTATGCAAAATAATGTCCTCCGCCCTCTGTTCTTCACTTATGAGCATATCATGTTCCTAAAATAGAAATACTTAAAATTTTTTTTATAAATCCCTGCTTTATACATTTTTGCAATTATGAGAAGTAAACGCAGCAATGTTTAAAGGTTTTTATTAAAACAGACATATTCACTTGTCTTCTGGTTTGTTGAAGCAGTATGTCAAGCAGCACTTGCCACAATAATGTCTATCAAAGTGGCTAGCCATGAACACTCCAGCCCCACATTCTTCAGAGGGACACTCACGGCGTAAACGGCTGATTTTGCCATTCTCATCCACCTGTAAGAAGAAATCCTCAGTAAATAGTGCAGTACTGCATTTACTTCAAAAGCAGGCTTATCTATAAATTATAATTAGAACATAAAAAGTTTTTGGAACAACTGTCTTTAGAAAGATTGATGGGTATGTTATACATCCAGCCTGTGGGCCGCAAGTTTCACACACATGTTCTAAACCAGTGTTTTTCAACCTTTTTTGTGCAAAGGCACACTTTTTTCATGAAAAAAATCACGAGGCACACCACCATTAGAAAATGTTAAAAANGAGAGTAAGTCATCTGTGTACCAAGTTTGGCTGAAATTGCTTGAGGCGTTCCAGAATTATGCTGGAACACACACACACACACACACACACACACACACACACACATTTTTATATAGAGAGATTAGGTTCTAAATATATAGATGATCTATAAAAAGAGCAAAAGATACAATTATGTGTAATCCAGGCGCTTGGCATATGACTCATATTAATGACCGCTGACATGTATCAGTGTCATATGATTATATTTTTTGACCTTCTGATAAGCAAAGTCAATGGGGAAGCCAGATTTACTAATTTAAGAACTGCAATGATTCACTTAACAACTATGTAAAGTAAGGTTGTAAAATGAGGCAAGATTCACTTAACTGTTTCACTTCGTAACAGAAATTTTGGGGTCAATTCTGGTCATAAGTCAAGGATTAACTGTAGTAATCATCCCGATAGACTGCTAGTTAAGGAATTATGGAAGATGAACAAAAATATTCTTTTTTTTAACTGAAGGTTTTACCCTATCTACTTATATCCCCGCCATCTTCCTTCATTTACTTTGTTCCCAATGAAGTTACGCAAAGCTAAATAACTTTCATCAATAGCATAATTTTTAAGGGAATACTTAAAACTTAAATATCTGAAAGGCATTTATAATTCTTCTCCAATTATTGAAATTATATGCAATTGTCTATAAGTAATGTGTTACTTGAATTGTTTTTCTTTTTAAGAGTGAAAAGAATTGAGAAGAATTCTGTAAGAACTGAGAACTTAATAGAGAAAATAAAAAGTTTAAGGTTAACACTCTTATTAAAAGAAGATTTATCTCCAGTCAAGAAAGTTAATCCTGCTAAAAAAATTCCAGGTAAGATGGAGTTGTTTATAATTTTAAAAAATCAATTTTGTCTGACACCAGGAGCACTAACCAGCTTTTGTATTATATTGCAATGTTAATATCTAAGATTGTTTGAATAATTATATGTTCTCATTACATTCTAAATCTTAGCTGAGCCAAGATTGAAGGCCAAGCCTAAATGGACAGTTGGATGGTGGTCTTTCTATTATTTTTTTTAAAACGGATGAGTACTCAAGATGAAATTGAAATTAACTATCACGTGCAATATATGAAAGAGTAGAATTGAATCTGCCATGCAAAGAATGAATTCTACTTGTAAATGGTAGCTGTTTTTTAGTTATACTTTCCAGAAAAGCAGACCTCTCTGATGACTTTGAATTTTGGCTAATAATAGCAGAATGCTTTTTTGTTACAACAGAATGTGTACAGTTTGAAATTATAGTCTGTCAGTATGATCACTGATGGAAACTTTTCTCCTTTTCTTCATTAGGTCTTAATATGAAAGACTCTCTTGATATAGATGTCCTTTCTAATCACTTAACTCATCTACAAAAAAGGTTTAAGGAGTTGAAAGAAGACATGCTGACAAAATACATTCCCATAGAAAACACAGCCAATGTTGAAGGAGACATGAATCAAGCTCTTAAAAAGCGAAATGTAGCTGAAAAAAATAATGAGAATCTGAAGTTTTGGTATAAAGATATGCACTTACTTACTTTGGAGTATTTTCTCTTTTCTTCATTTTTTGAATAGTGAGAATAGCTGTAATAACATTGTTCACTTTATTTTCATCAGATTAGAGCAGGGGTGTCAAACTAAAGGATCTGGTCCGCGGGGTGCTTGGATCTGGCCAGCAGGGCAGCCCTGGAAACAGCAAAAGATTGTCCTGTGGTGCCTCTACCAGCAAAAACAGCGCTCCGCTTTCATTGGCAGAGGGTTGCAGGAGTCCGTGGTAGCTGGAAATGGTGCTTGCAAAGGCAGCGGACAGCCCTTGTAAGTTCCGTTTTTGCTGGAAGAGGGTTTCAGGAAGGTGTTGAAGCTGAAAATGGAGCTCAGGAGCACATTTTTGCTGGTAGAGCACTTGGGCCACCACAGGCACCCAACACAAGTGACATTGAGCTGGCCATGCCCACCTTGGCCATGCCCACCACACAACCCTTGCGGCCCTCAATGAAATCAAGTTTGACACCCCTGGATTAGAGCAATGACTTACAATAGATCCTAGAATTGTAATTTCTAAAATTGTATGTTCTGTCTTAGCAACTGTGGTTAGATTAGCACCAACAGAAAACTTAACAAACCTCAACTGGAACATAGCAACCATTAATAGGTTTAATGGGGGAAATCAATACATCGAAGACATATTAATTCCAGACATTTGGTTCAGAATGTTAGGTAGCTCTGCTGCTATTACTGTATTTCTCTATGTATTTCTCTAAAAATGGGGTTATTATTTTTTCCATGATGCCAGGAGTTCTTTGCCATCCAAAGTGACCATTGTGAGAAGGGTAGCCAAATAAATAAATATTTTGCATATGTAAAGCTCAGTTCTTGGAATTCCTAGTATTATTAAATGGCATAATAACAATTTACAGTAATAAATTGTTATGAAACAACCAGTTGAAGTTTATTAGCAACACACATTACAGTACAAAATACCCCCACATGAAATCTGAGAAAGCCAGTCACTCAGAATAATTAGTATTTAATTAATAGATCTATGATATGATGTAATATTAATAACTTTGATAAATTAAAAATAAATTTAATTACTATGTATAGGGTAAGAGCTTATTCATGTATTATATCATGATTGTATGGTCCACTAAAATATCAGAAAAGCCTGCTGAATCAGGCCAATGCCCAGTATTTTGTTTTTCAGTTGACAATTAAATTCTTTTGGATGCTTGCAAAGAGAAAACAGAAAGAAAAACAAAAAAATTTCCACCATTGTACTTTTTAACTAAATGTAGAGCTAAAGTTAAGATTGTGAAGGAACCCACTTACTCAAATAGAAGCAAATACAGTCTAGCAAGGGACTTTATCATAATATGCATATGAAACCTGTTTTTAGCATTGAGAATTGCCAGTATAGGAAATGCTTTAATTTAGTTAATACTATTTGCAATCATGATTGTAGTGTAGTTATGTATGTGTATATTATATGCCACTGACAAATTTAGACATTGGAGAAATTCTTTTTCTCAGGAAGTTTTGTCATGTGTTTTGATACAAGGGGATAAAATAATGTGGTACAGAAAACCCTGGAGAATTCAAACTACAGTTGATTCTGACATAGTCACATTTTAACCAATATTCTGATTTTTATAGTTATTATCGTCTAACTCTGTTTGCAAATGTGGTCGTTGTCTGGGAGAATTCAGACAAGAGTATTGAGACACTGCACCACCTCATTCATCAAATGATAGAAAGTGAGGAACTTGCAAAAGGTAAAAACACATCAGACTTCATCTTTTTACAACAAATCAGAAAAAATACATGTTTCTGGTGGTGCATTAAGGTCAGCGTGTTTCTGTTATGCTGGAAAAACACTGTGCCATTTATTTACAGAAATAGGGATTTATATTGTTTTTACCATTGTTTATTAGGCTTTTTGATTTATACCTATATTGTGGGAACTGTAATAGTTGCCAATAGGTTTCTGGATGCATTTTGTAATGTGCTGATTGCAACCTATAAAACCATTTATGGCATAGGTCCTTGTTAACTATGGGACTGTCCTTTCCTTTAAAAAGTCATTAAAATTTTAATAAACATAGTAAAAATTAATACAAACTAAATGAAAATCAAAATCAAAATGCAGAAAAAAAGAAAAAAGTAATAGGAAAAGAAGACAAAGACAATAATAAAGAAGTTGCTTCCATTCTTAATCACACTGAATACACATAATATACTAACTTTTCACTATCTTTTTCACTATCTCTTCACATAAAAAAACAACCCCCCTCCTTGCCTTTTATCTATATGCAAACCAATATTTTCAATCTAGGTTCAGCAAAAAGCCCATTAGGCATTACTAGAAATATGAAATAGTTTATCCCTGGTTAAATAGTCCTTTATATTGTTTTTGCTCTGCACAATCTGACCTTTAAATCTTCCATAAAGATTTGATCTTTTATCACTTCTTTAGTATGTAAAAGAAGTCCTCAAAGTTTCCCCAGCCTTTTTTTATAAATCGCATAAAGAGACATCATCCAGGATTTCTTGTCAAAGCTACTACAGATCCAGATCCTTTTCTTCCCATAAAGAGGCATAATCCAGACTTTCTTTTGTTGTAGCTGTTACATATCCAGATTCTTTTATTAGTTCATCTTTTGTATTCCCATTTTAGTAATTTTAATTTTGTTGTCTTTCATGTTTTCAAACTATAAGGTCTATTTCAGGTAGAGGTTTTTTTAATTTATTTTTTTCTTGGGTCCTCTAAACAGTTATCCATTAAAATCTGTATTCTTTCTGAAACAAATATTTATTAATAAATATTTCAGGCTGAATTTCAAAAAACTGTAGCATAGGAAAAGTTTATACTTGGCTTAGCCATTTTAACTCCTTCCTGTCTGGTGCTATAGTCCCCTCTAGTGTCCAGTTGAAACTTTCCTCAAACCTCAACTGTTAAAATGGCTTTGGTTCCATGCCAGTCATTCTTATATTATTTAATTATATATTTGGTTTGTGTAGGTTACATAACAAATAACCAATATACCACATCTCTGATCTTCAAATTTGTTAAAAATTTTTTAATCAAAATTCCTTTTTTCATGCTTTTTGGAATTTGTATATTGTTTTAAACTTTGAAAACTTTATTTTTTTAAATTCAAAGAGTATAAAATTAAGCTTGTCATTTCAAAGGTCTCTAATATCCATAAAATAGTTAATTTGAACATTTCCAAAATGATTCGTTTCTATTGTCTTTATGGCTGTATAAAAGGTCTTGCCACTGCTGAGTGTAAAGATGTCTTCTCCCGTGGCTCCTAGCACTCAACTCAAACTGTTTTATGGTCTCCTTGCAAGGAGCTGTCATTCAGAGCATAAGTGGGTAATCTCTCAATGTCTCCTTGCCAGAGAAACGTGAAGGACTGGTGTACTCACTGGTCTTTTATTTTACACAATGGTCATCGTCTCGGCTAGTCTGCAGAGATGTATTTAATCAGCCAGGGTACGTTTAAAGCCTGCAACTGTCTTTTCCAATTAGGAGCTCCCCACCCCGTGCATTCTGTCTAAGATTTGCTTCTGATTCCCTTTCTTCAAGAAGTCAAAGGGAAGTGAGAATAGATGCAGGCCTTTCTCTGGGAGCACTCCAGCCTTGTATATGGAATACTTTCAGCTAAGATTAGTTCTTGCCCATTTACTTTGCAGGATGCAAGATCAGGCATGAAATCCTCTTATCTTCGCTATTGGTTCAGAACCGGGACCATGCGGCCATGGCGCTTCTGCGCATGCGCAAAACCTTCTGTGCATGCACAGAACATCCGTGATGATGTCTGAGCAGATGGGTGGAGCCTCCCACCACCGCCACTACTGGTTTGTTTGAACCGGGGTGGACTGGCAGAATACCACCTCTGGTGAAGATCATCTTTTCCACCAAGCTTTTGAAATGAAAGTCACTATATCATCAGTGGCTATATTATATCATTCAGTGCTTACATTTTATGATGTGGACTTACATAAAATTTCTTGATGTTATGTTTCACAATTTGAATATATATGATTGGGATGGCATACAAATTCTGTGCAACAACACTCTCAGATTCTCTCTCTATGCTACTTCCTATGCCTAGACTTGCTTCCTTTCTTATTAGAGAGGTTCTGATGGACCTACCTGGGGTTACTTCAAGCCAGATTCAAAGTTCCAATGATTCCTTTCCACACAGTCACAAAAGTTGCAAAAAAAAGGGCCCCATAGAGGAGCATTGGCTTGCTTAACAACCATGGGCTTTGCATAATGATCTCCATAGAAAAGGCTGTAAAATTAGATTGGTCATGTAACTAACCCATTTTATAACTGTCATGACTTACAACTAGAATGGTTAGACGCTATTATGATCATAAACTGAAGTACATGTATCCTGCTTCTTCCTTATCTTTGATTTAACAGCAGGGTAAGGAGAGCTCCAGAGGCTACAGCAAGCCCTTTGAAATGTAAGCCACAGTTTGAAATAGTGAAAGAAAGTGTGTTTCTACTGCAAATGTGTCCCTTGCAGTTCTTGATTTGGTTAAAATGTATTCTTTGTTTTCTAAGTGTGTAAAATATTAACCTCTTGTGGATGGATCTGACCTTTCAGGTTCAATTGCTTCTAGTGTCTCAAGTGTATTTGAACGTGATCCTGCTAAAAGCAAAGAGGCAGAAGATCTGATTGAATATATTGAAAGGTAAGTCTTCTGATCTTATCTCTTTATTTAGGCAAATGAAATTGTTTAGTACACCGAGTACACTAACTCCCAGTTTGAAAATGATGTGAAAAATGCTTTACACAAATGCAACACTTCTTGGTTCTTCACTAAAATAACTATACAATCTTGAAAAAAAGCAGTGATTTAAAAGTCATTCTTGCAGCAGCCACATTTTTGTAAGTCTGAAAAATGGCAATCTACTTTACTGTAGAGTGAAGAGATGTCGTACTCTCTCGAAGTGTGAAGCATTTCTTCAAATCATCTTTGAAGCACACTTGGTTGTAATATTATCACATCCCCTTTGTTATAACACATTGGATCCACTCCACAAGAGCACAGAGCACTATAGTGAGTAACAGGAAGTTAAAACAAAAATACAGACTTTTCATGAGACTTGCAGCATAGAGGCTAAGTAGGAAGATGATATCTTGCCCAGGCAAAAAATGCCAGTGAAAAGTATTGTTTTGTTCTTTGCAAAACAAAACAGAAGAGAGGTTTGGAGCAAAGACTTTTATTGGATAGAATAACATGATGATATATGCTACTATCCTAGAGATCTGCTATTTATAGTTGGACTGACAAGACATTGGTAGAGGACAAAATCAGAGATTGGTATCACTAGTGAAAACTTACCTAGACAGATAGAGACCAAGATGATAAGATGCTAGAGATAGTTTGGACAAGGATTTATTCTGGAAAAAGAGAACTTGAAAAAGTAATGAAACCTGAAGAGTGATTCATCTGTTCCAATGGGGACGTTTTCACAAAGTTGAAACATGTATTTTTAATTCCTTTCATTTCCCAATTTTTCACACAAGAGCTGAATATCAAATGACCGTACACATTTAACTTCATTTTAGATAGTCTTTGTAGCTTTGTTAGCTATGGCTTTGCCAGTAATAAAGGTGTTTTTGCATCCATTTTCTATCACTTATAATGTTATATTCTTTGAACTGTGCTAGATTCAATGAACTGTTTTCCCGTTGTCAGTATGAGGCTGCAGCAACATATGCAGCAAACTGTCCTAGAGGAATCCTACGCAATGAAGAAACCTTGGAGAAATTTAGGGGTATGAACCATGAGATGCAATCTTCCTCTTTTGTATATAGTCTTGAATATCAGTAAACCATAGTCAAAAGTATGAATATTTTTTGACAATTCTCTGGCTTTGTGATTTAAGGAACTGGAGGCATATATTTAATTAGTTTCTATTAATGTGATTACTACCATACTGAATGTGAATTAATTGCAATTTATAGCCAAAAAGTATTTTTAATCATTCCACACGTTTTCTAGTTTCACACCTTTCTATGGTTCTTTATAAAACTTTTCAAATGATGTAAAATAAAGAAATATATGCTCATTTTCTTAATTTATAGTATTCTGAGTTCAAATCCTCCTTTGATAGAAGATCTGAGCTTGAGAAAAATTGCTGACATAGAAAACAAACTGCAACAAACAATTGTTTTAAAAATATTGCTTTTCCCCTTCAGCTATTGGTCATGTTAAAGGGAAGATCCTTCCTCTGCTTTTGTATTGTGATGCACTCATAACTACAACCATTGCTATTAAGAAGGCTCTTCCTGCAAATTTGACAACCGAAGCCATCAAATGTGCCTTAGCTGAGAAACGGTTAGACTTGGTGATGCATTGGATCACATTGTTCAAGTAAGTGGTCATTCAGAATTCTGGCTCAGGAGCAGAAGATATATATTATATACAAGTAGTCTATAGGTCATTCTGTGGGAATTCCAGGTAACTATGACAAATATTCAAGAATAGCAGGATCATGGGAATTGGCTGCCAGAATATTCACTTATAAACTAAATGACATATTTTCAGGAAAGCAGGTGCTGAAGAATACTATTATTTCTGATAAATTAATTATCAGTACATTCTAGACAACAATTCTTAAAGGATAACAGGCATTATTTTCAAACTGAATTAGCCCATCTCCATCAAACTCAATTCATGTGAGCTGAAGGCAGGATAGAATGAGGAATCTTTCAGAAGGAGAGCAGGATATTTAAAGTTAGGAGAAGCCAACAAAAATAGAATATTTATTATATGCAAATTTTGTTGGAGCAAAAATTATTATGGACAAAACCAGCTAGCCCAATGACAGTTTCTTTCAGAAAGGCTATAGGAGAAAGCGTCCAATTAAATAAGAGAATGAGGTTTATTGTTTATAGCTCATCTTCCATTTTTAAGATAATATCTGAAGTGGAACTTGAATATGGTCCATCTCCAGAAATTTCTAGACACAACAGCCAACCTGTAGCTCAGTCTCAAATTCCAGTTGCAATTGGAATCCCTGAGAAGCAGGATCCAGGGTCGGTTTAAGAAGTAAAAAATAATAATCATCTGAATGGGAAAGAGGTATCACCTTTCAGATAAATCTTTGGGGCTCATGATTCCTTTCTGCAACATCTATCAAGCCTATAAATGATAAGGAGTAAGAGTAAGATATGGTCTTAAAAGAGAGTAGAGACTTTTAAGGTGTAGAAAGGTGGGCTTTGGTAAAGTATACCCTATTTTCCAAAAGGAGAAATGTATGAGAACAAAAAATTGGGTTGTGAATTCTTCAAATGTGCTTGTTTTCTTTTCCTCATTTCTTCTTCTGTTATTTATCCTAACTCTTTGATTTTATATTATCATTTAAAAGAATAAGATATTATTATTATCATCATTATTCCATTTTTCTTTACAATGTGCAGAATTCGTATATTATCTAACAATGTTTTGTTCACTTTGTTTCTCCCAGATTGGAATTCTCTGAGGCTGCCGGTGATGCAATCTTTAGGTATGCAGATGTGGATACGCACAACAGGTCCCAGTGTCTAGCTTTGGCTCAAATTGCATACAGTGAGTGTGGGGCACACAAAAAAGCTGTTTTATGCTTGTGCAAACAGGGCCAGATTTATGGAGCCCTGGATTATCTACATCATTTCAGAGAACTTTCCACAGGTACATTTCAGAGCTACATTGTATTTACGTCTCTGTTTTAAATTATATCTGATAGTGTTATAGAGATGTTCAGGTGGCTTTCAGTGCTATCACAATGTATGCATGTGTTTGCCTATAGTATGTGTATCTGAGAAAAGGATGGAATGAATAAATCTGATTTAATGTAAATGTTTTGCAAATGTGAGTGTGTGTATGTTTCTGTTCTTCCCCTGTGGGAAAACAGAAATTTGGCCCCATTCAATTAAGAACAACATTTTCTCCTCAAACAATCCACTGAACTTTGAATAAGTTGAGCAGATATGAAATGGCTACTATTCTTTTTAATATATGACTATTTTCTCTCCAATGAATTTTAGCATACTTCTAACATCACCAGCCATTTTTAAAAATGATATAATGTCTTCTTTCCATGTATTTATTCTGCCGGAATTCATTTTTGAAGAAGAAACATTTTATTACAGGTCCATCTTATCAAGACTGACAGTGTTAATGAACTGGTCCTCAAGGAAGTTAGCTAATTGAATCCAGAATTTGTTCCTGAACAAAGCACTGTATTTCTTGGTCATTGCCAAAGCAAGGTTTAGATCAGGGATGTCTGTGGCATTGCCAACACCAACCAGTGCTATCAAAGTCCTACCTATTTTTACATGCATGTGGTACACAGAAAAAAGTAGTGGGACATTTATCATCTAATCATGCCTTTGATTTTGATATTGTTCACATACAAACACACATGACAGAGGCCCACAGTTGAGAGATATTTCATTGTTTTTTAATCTTTGCTTTAAATTATTAACAAATGAAAAAGAACTCTGAGATTATATATCTAAAAATGCAATACATTCCATACAGTATTGAGTTTTCAGAGATGGTATACTTCTGCTCATTTTATGCTGGAAAGTAAAAATGACAGCCACGCTTTTCGAGCTGGAAATATAAAAATATCTGATTTTTTTTAGGCTTTCTAACCCCTGTGCTGTTTGATTTCAGGGGATTATATCTTTCTACTGAAGCATTGTCCTCGTATAGATTTCATCCGTTTCCTTACTCAAGAATGGGATGGGCAACCACCAATCATGTCCCTTGCGGAAACCATCCTTTCTCTCATTGGAACAGAACATCAAATACATGGCATGCGCTTGTTGGAGGATATTACCAAAAAGGGCAAAGGTAAATATAGCTTGAATTTTTCCCGTGAGAATGTGGCAACCCTAGAAGTAGACCAGGCTAAGGAACTTCTTTCATTGTAACAGCTTTAGTAACAGAATCTTGCAAGTCTGAATGTGCTTCCCCATCCCTCTCTTTATTTTCATGTGAACTAGGAAGGGGCTTGGGGGCAATATGCTGACTCTGTAAACCGCTTAGAGAGGGCTGAAAGCCCTTTGAAGCGGTATATAAGTCTAACTGCTATTGCTACTGCTATTGCTATTGTCTGAGATGTTTTCTCAAGATATTTTCTTGACAACTCAGTCCTCTCTTATCTGACTGTTATCATGGTATCTCTTTTCCTCCCCGCCCCCCCAAGGCCATGCCCTATGACATCTATGCAATATAAATTTGTTTGCTTGCAATTATCTGACTAGATAAAATGTAGGGGAGAGATTTTAATTACAAAATGGAGAGAGGAAAGGGTTAGATTCTCCTTATGCTTCAATCATAATTCCAAAGTTGGACCTAGTTCCCATTCAAATTAAAATTTATCTGCTTTAAATATTTTTTAACAGTAACACCTGCTGAATGATCATACCAAAAAAGTATGCATTTTTAAAGCATTACTGATTCAGAGACAAAAAGCAGCCAAATATTCTTTGTCTGTCTTCTTTCTCAACATATTTGTAGATACATTGGAACAGATTATTGTAAAAGATGCCACCAATGTGGAAGGATGGAAGGAGATAGCTGAAACATGCCTCAATGCCAAAAAGGAAAATTTATACAAACTTATCATCTCTATCCTTGTTAGCCTGGAAGGAGTGTTTGAAATTCAAGCAGATGATGCAGAGGATGCCAAATTAATGGAACACGTGTTCTTGTAATTTTTCCACAAGGCACGTGGAGGAGCTCTTTGTCCTAGGAGTTGTTTATATTGGCTGCACAAATAACAACACAACTTCTTCGTGTTATTTCTGTTTTAAAAACGTAATATATTTAATACCATGAATCTGATTTGATTGTGCTACAGTTGCTGCTCATGCTCGATCATTTGCCCTTGTTTTACTTTTAAAATGGGGTTGCTTTCTGAAGTAATTTAGCTGTGTTTACACCAGATCACTTGTGAGTTTTCTTCCCTTTTTCAGTAATTGGTTTTCTCCTATTTTTTTCTTCCTATGGTCAGGAAGTTGAATCAATTGTTGGAGACACAGTCTTTCATCTCCCAAATAGTCACATTTGTTTAATTTTTTTAATCATGTTGCTCTTATGTGGATACATTTAGTGGCAAAATTAGAAATTATCTCTAATATACACATGGATAGGATGCTCACAACTTAGCTACACAGTTATTCTTTCCATTCTATGAACTGGAATGAAACTAGAATAATTCCTGGTTTCTCTAATGGAATCAATATTTTTGGACTAATGGTTATGTAACTTTTGTAGTCTTTCCTGGCATGGTTGTTGGATTATGAAAGGTATAGTCCCAATGTACCCAGAAGATACCAGGTGGTGTTTAAACCACATAGATTAATTTGTATTTAAGCTATTTAGAAAGTCCATCCTATTGTGAAACATTTTGTTATACCACAGATTCTGGATTTCTAACAAATTAAGCAAATTTCTAAAATTATATCTCTAAAATGATTGTATTTCAAGATATATTTTCATCTTTATGTTCCTTCCTTTACAGCAAGCAGTTCATTTCTTTCACCCCATAAACCTGCCACGTAAGCAGGGAAAGCCCATAGCTTGAAGGTGATGTGAATTGGTTAATGAAGATTTTCTTGCACTCACATCCAATTATATTTCACAGGGGTTTTGTGATAGAAACAAACCAAGAAAAAAAATACATGTTTATCAATGTATCTACTCTTCACCATAATGTGTTTTAAGCAGGTTGATACAGAACAGCTAAGAATTAGACATGTTTTTTGTGACAAAAGGCTGAATATCAGCAATTAATGCAGCCTGGTCCAACATTTACTTTTTTTTCTACCCCTCCCCCTTTATTTCTTTTCAAAGATTTGGCCAGCAGAAGCCCAAATATATGTTGTGAGATATGCTGTGCTATATTTGAATGTCTTTTTAGTTCCCAAGATTGCAGTACAAGCCAAGGACGTTCTCACTCTGGAAAGCTGTAACTCTGTAATCATATATGCAGTAATGATTCTTGGAGGAGGGCATTGAAGTTGTGTTTGTGTGTGGAGGGAGGGAGGGAGGGAGGGAGGGAGGGAGAGAATCTCAAGGCAAATTAAGTTCTTAATGGCAGTGGAAAATTAAAAAATTAAAAAGAAGCCACATCAAGCACAGATGGTCCCATAATTTGCTCCAAGATGCTGAATTTTGATCACAGTATAGGACCTCACCCAAATTCCAGATACTGTAAATTGCCAGCATTGTCTCTAGACATCGTGCTAACTTTAGGGAGCTTTGCTGAACACCATCCAGCCACAGATCCCCTGTTTCCTTGGCTCAGAAAATCACTGTTGGAATCCTGTGTCACCAGGAATTCACATATAATCCTGTTAATGAATTAAATAATAACTGAGTTTAAAATAAAAAATTACAGACCCTAATTTCTTAAAGGACCCTTTCTTAAGAAAATGTAGCCTGGATCATTTATTTAAGAATATAACATACTATATGCATGATATACCAATAGATAGATAGATAGATAGATAGATAGATAGATAGATAGATAGATAGATAGATAGATAGATGAGAGAGAGAGAGATGTGTGTAGAAAGAGAAAGAATGTATAGGCAAGTAAACTTACCTTATTTTTCAGAGTATAAGATGCACCAAGATTTTGAGGAGGTAAATTTTAAAAAAAGTTTTTGCACTCTGCAGAACTCCCAAACCCTCTGCACACCTCATTTTTGTGAAAAATGGAGCAAAAAACAGCCTGGTTTTTGCTCTTTTTTTTTGCCCTCCCCAGCCCCCAGGAGCACTTTGCAGGCCTCCCAAACCCTCTGCACATCCATTTTTGTGAAGGGGGCAGGGTTTCGGGAGGCCAAAAATGCTGTATTCAGTGTACAAGACGCACCCAGATTTTCACCCTCTTTTCTGGGGGAAAAAGATGCGTGTTATACTCCGAAAAATACACATAGCAAGAGTGGTCCCTGCATATATGATTACAGAATTACAGCTTGTGAAGCAACTGTGTGGGAGTCTCCTTGGCTTGTGCTACTGGTTTATATACAAGGCACTGTAATCTTGGAAACAAGAAAAGCATTCAAACATAACATTTCTCATGAGATACATTTGGGCTTGTCTTGGCAAAATCTTTGCAAAGCAAGAATGTGGAAGTGAAAAATACAGTGCTAATACAAAGAAAAACTCCTCTTTACAACTGATTTCCTAAGTTCAGAATGTTGCCCATTGATGGGAGTTAATTTAAAATAATAATTTAGAAGGAATACACAAGTTACTTATATAACACCACCATAAGGGGTGTTTAGTAAAAACCAAAGATAATCATTAACAGAATTTTGCATTGAATTTAGTATTGCTCCTAGGGAAATGTGTATAGGGTTGCAGTGCTTTTACTACATCCATAAAATCATAAAATATTAAACCCTTCAAAGTCTGTTGCTGCCTTCTATTAAAATCTTCCAAATGCCTACCCCTAGGGGAAGACGTAGTTTTGACTGCTTCCTAAAGGATAAAAGGGTAGTAGCTAGCCTGAGAAGAGTAAGAAAGATTACCTTGATGGAGATATACAGTCTCTATTGCAGTGATGGCGAACCTATGACACGCGTGTCAGTGCTGACACGCGTAGCCATTTGGGGTGACACGCACAAGATTTCATGCGATTCATTCTCGGCTCCTGCACGGCTGCCGAGGATGAAAGAATTTGTGTGATCTCCCCCGCCCACACTCACTTACTGTATCGCCGCCGCCCCTTTCTGAGCGCAGGGGCTGCTGCTAAGGCATGTGTGCCGTGCGCACACACGTCATCAGCGCGGCGAGGGAGGACCCGCAGGAGAGGAGCGCGGGAACAGTGCGCGCCTCTCTCCAGTCAGGCCGGCACAGAGAGTCTACTCCTGGGACTGTCGGTTACGACCGCACCACACTTATCTCAGTTCACGGCAGGGCTGTGGAGTCTGCTGCTTCCAGCTCCACGTCCTCATCAACATGCCGCTCCGGCCCGTCCCCACTATGAATATTCATATTCTTCGCCCTCGCGTCACTAGGAATATTCATAGCAGGGGCGGGCTGGAGCGGCATGTTGATGAGGATGTGGAGCTGGAAGCAGCCGACTCCACAGCCCTGGTTCACGGCACCCCAAACAAGTTCAATAATATCAAGGGCAACATACGAAATCGACTGATGAACAAAGAAGTTACTAAGCAGGTATGTTAAATAATTTGTTTTTGGTTTATTAAATACAATTATATATTGCAATTATACATTTTTGTAGTTTAAACTATAAATTGCGCAAAATTATGTTTTTGTCGAAGTGACACACAACGCGAGTTATGCTCGATTTTTTGCCGATTTTTGACACACCACGCCAAAAAGGTTGCCCATCACTGCTCTATTGCCTAGGCGAAAGAGGCTTTAAGTCCAGAACTTCCTAGTAACCTTTGGAAGCAGCTCAAACAAACTTCCTAATTCACTAAAGTATAAGAAGAATGAGGAGGTACAGTACAGTGAGGCTTTCAAGATTTTATTACAGCCATTCTCGATAAAAATAGTCTTAGCTTTCCTTTGCAGTTGACTTCCTGGTCTTTCTGTATCTAGTGGGCTGACATAGCCTGACCTTAGAGAACAAGCTGCTCCAGGTAGATTTTATTTGGAAAATAATAGTTTAAAAAATAACAAGAGCCTGAGCCTTTTTAGTGTTTTGTAGGTGACAATCAGCACCTTGAATTCAGTCAGTGAGCCCTAGTGACAACCAGTGTAGTTCACACAATAGGTATGTTGCTGAGCTGGCTAACACCAATCGGTAAGCAAGCAGCTACACTTGTGCCAAGGGCAGCCCAACACAGAATAAACCGCAATAATCAACTGAGAGATGACAAAAGCATGAGTCACTATTTTCAGCGCCTCCTGGTCCAGGAATAGGTGCAAGGGTGGACCTGTTACAACTGGCTAAAGGCTCACTTGGCCTTGGCTTCCATCTTTTTCAGCAAGCTAGAAAGAAGGCCTCAGTGACTTCACTTAAACTCTGCAATTGCATTCTAAGGAGGCTGTTTCATTTTAAAATGCAACCTCAAATTTATCTTCTTTGATCATGGATAAATGTTCACTTTTTGTTTATGAGCTATTGATACAAATGGAAATATTGATGAATGTTATACCACATGGACAAGGGTTAATAGTGTTTTATTAGGGTGAAAGATTTTCTTTTCATTATATAATATGCTTCTATTACTTGCCTTCTCCTTTTGTTTTTTCTGTCTTTTTTATGTCAAAGAATTTCTTTCTTTCTTCTACCCAAACTTTGGGACATGATTTGTGGGCTTAAGCCACAGGAATCGGCTTTTCCTCTAATTGCAAGTAAGGCAAGATGCTGAACAATTTCACAGCTACAGAATCAGGAAAGAGGAGAAATAGAGGTAGTTCTAGAATCTTCCATTGCAGATGGCATGTGAAAATCAGAACAAATCAGAACAAAAAGACAATGTTTAAGTAATATTCCAAATGTATCTATATGAAAACAAGCCCAGTTCAATGTATAAATAATATTGATGGTTTCAAGTGATTTATAGAAGATTATGAAAAGGAAGCAATTAGCAATAGTGAATATACTATTGTTCAGGAATTGTTAGTGGAATCTTTTATCTGAGGCAGCATTCTTAAAATGCCTCAACTGGCCATGAGGTCCACATATCTTAAAATTGCCAAGGTTCAAAAAGACACTAGTCTGACATATCAAAACCGGTTTTGACTTATCCACCTTGATTTTGGGAGGGAAAGGAAACTCTCTTAATCTGGCTCTAAGTAAGGACACGAACCACACAGCACACTTTGATCTATCCTTCAAGCCCTCAAAGTTGCTCAACCGTCACAGCTTTCATGTTGCTTGTTTCTCACCCAAAACAATTGATGCAGCACAGCAGTGAGAGCACCAGTACACCTTAAAAGCAGAGCAATTCATGCTGCTGCACTGTGCCCTCTGGGATACGATGGCTGTTCAGCCAGCACTTTCTGGCAGCCAGGCCAGAAAAGCAAGAAGCAAGCAGCTACTCTTCCTCATTAAAGATTTATAGCATCTGTATAGGCTCATTCAGCCATCAGTAAGGTGATACAGGTAGTCTGACTTACGAACATTCATCAACTGTTTGAAGTTGCAGTGGTGCTGAGTGAATTATGTTATGACCAGTACTTGGAGTTCTGAATATCCCAACAACCTGATGATGACATAATCATGATCTGAACACTTGCAATTAACACATTTATGATCAGTTGTCACATGATTGCCATTCGGGACCTTCTCTGCTAGCTTCCCCAGAAAGTCAGTGGGGAAACTGGCAGGGAGGGTTGAAAGTCACTGGGGTCTTACCCATGTACCCTATTGGACCCTTGTCATGCCTCCCTCACACTATTGTGTGCCCCGCTTCCTCCCTCACATCTCTGCGTACCCCTGACGACCTTCCCTAAATCTCGCTGCTCCTCCCTCACACTTCCTTGCACATCCTCCTTGACCCTTTCTGCACATCCTACACACCCTCCAAGATCTGCACACATTAACCTGGTTGTGATAAGCTGGCTGGAAGTTGCCTCATTTAACAACCATGAGATGAAGTTAGCAATGGCAATCAGGACTGTAGGGATTACCATAATAGGATTCAGTTAATAACCATGATTGCAGCATTGCTGTCACTAAGTGATGTGATCATATGTTATGACTACATGGTTTAGCAATGGAAACTCTGGTCCCAATTGCCATTGTGAGTTGAGGGCTACCCAAAGA